CTGGCTGTCACGTACCTATTCTTCTCACGTCTCCTGGATTACAGGTAAATCTAATGTCCTGATTTGGGTATAGGAGTGGGGTTAACTGGTGGAGACAAGAGCCTTAACTTTGGGGTAATACTGATTTAATGAGAGACATCATCCCTACACTCCAGTGGTGCCCACACTAACCCCACTGTGCTCTTTCCCTGAAGGGCAGGCAATGGAGATTGGCAGTGCAGCCCTGACTATACTGGTAGAATGCTGGGATGGGCATCTGACACCCCCTGAGGTTGCATCCCTGGCTGACAGAGCATCACGGGCACGAGACTCCAATATGGTGCGGGCAGCGGCAGAGCTGGCCTTAAGCTGTCTGCCTCATGCCCATGCATTGAACCCCAATGAAATCCAGCGGGCTCTGGTGCAGTGCAAGGAGCAGGTATTTCTAAAGGCAATCTGGGGACCTGGGCAGGAATGCTGGGCATGGGGAAATGTGAAGGACCCTTTTTTTTTTTTTTGAAAAGGGGTCTTGAGGCTGGGGCTGGGGCTGAGCATTAGTACACTTGCCTGGCATGTGTGAGGCACTGGGTTCGATTCTCAGCACTGTCTATCAATAACTAAAAAAAAATTTAAAAAAGAGTTATGACTACTGTTATGACTACTCTTTTAGAAGAGTAGTCATAAGGAAAGGGGTCTTGAAGTTGTGCAGGCTGGCTCACAACTTGTGATCCTTTTATCTTAGCCTCCCTTGTGTCTGGGACTATAGGTGTGTTGCCAAGCCTAAATGGAGGAACCAGTTCTTGATTCCTATCTTCAAGAGTTAACAGAGTAGGGCTGGAGATATAGCTCAGTTGGTAGAGTACTTGCCTCACATGCACAGGTCCCTGGGTTCAATCCCCAGCACCACAAAGAAAAAAAAAAGAGGGTTCACAGAGTATCCAGTTTGTCCTTTTATATTGACATTTTAACATTTCAGGTTGAATATTCTTTATCTGAAATGCCTGGAACCACAAGTGTTTCAGATTTTAGATTTTGGAATATTTGCCTATACATAATGAGATATCTTGAGGATGAGAGCCAAGTCTAAACATGAAATTTGTTTCATACACCTTATACACATAGCCAGAAGGTAATCTCACAATATTTTAAACAATTTTGTGCATGAAACCAAATTTCACGGTGAGAAATTTTCCATGTTTGGCATCAGGTTGGTGCTCAGAAAGTCTTAGATTTGGGAATTTAGGAATGCTTAATCTGTAATATACTTTCATACCTATCATATCCTAAGGTTAGGATTATTCCTATTTTACTGTTAAGGAAATAGAGGCTTGTAGTTTAGAGACCAAGATGGTTACTCAGAATGGAAAACTTGGGGAAGACCTCAGAGAGAGAATGAGATATGGATGGGGAGGGGTGATTACATTAGTTTGGAACTGGGACTATTATCTGGGTCTTGACTTCTATTGGTCAGCAAGTATTTGTTCAGCATCTGAAGCAGTAACTGAGCATTGACCCTGACCTCTGATGCCTACCCACAACCAGCTAACTCAGAGGGAGCCATTGGAATGTCATCTGACAACATTCCTGGGATAAAGTCTTTCCCACTTAACACTCTGTGCCCCTCCCTTCCAGGATAACCTGATGTTGGAGAAGGCCTGCATGGCAGTGGAAGAGGCGGCTAAGGGTGGGGGCGTGTACCCCGAAGTATTGTTTGAGGTTGCTCACCAGTGGTTCTGGCTATATGAGCAAACAGCAGGTGGCTCATCCACAGCCCGTGAGGGGGCTACAAGCTGTAGTGCCACTGGGATCAGGGCAGCTGGGGAGGCTGGGCGGGGGCTGCCTGAGGGCAGGGGGGGCCCAGGGACTGAACCTGTTACAGTGGCGGCAGCAGCAGTGACAGCAGCAGCCACAGTGGTTCCAGTCATTTCAGTGGGGTCCAGTTTATATCCAGGTCCAGGACTGGGGCATGGTCACTCTCCTGGCCTGCACCCCTATACTGCTTTACAGCCCCACCTGCCCTGTAGCCCTCAGTACCTCACCCACCCAGCTCACCCTGCCCATCCCATGCCTCATATGCCCCGGCCTGCCGTCTTCCCTGTGCCCAGCTCTGCATACCCACAGGTGAGACCAGTATCCTGCTGTGTTCAGGGTGGGACATGTGGAAACACACTGGGAGTTCATGGAGGGTTGGGTGGAGTGGGGTAGTACTCTGGGAATATAATAATACTTCCAAAAGTCCTGACGAGGTGGTGGGAATCTGGGGGACCCAGCCTAAGATAAGTGTAGGGATACCCATTTGTAGGGTGAAGGGGCAGAGCTATATCCTACTATATAACTTGATATCTTCCTTCTCTTTCTCCCCCTGCCTCTAGGGTGTGCATCCTGCATTCCTGGGGGCTCAGTACCCTTACTCAGTGACACCTCCCTCACTTGCTGCCACTGCTGTGTCTTTCCCTGTCCCTTCCATGGCACCCATCACAGTCCATCCCTACCACACAGAGCCAGGGCTCCCACTGCCCACCAGTGTGGCCTGTGAGTTGTGGGGACAGGGAACAGGTGAATGGAGGGGAGGCACAGTGGACAGGGGAGGTAGGGTGGGAGTCTTCTCTGTCCCTCTTTGTGCTAGGTCTCACATGGTTTTCATTCTACCCTTAGTGAGCAGTGTCCATCCAGCATCCACATTTCCAGCCATCCAGGGTGCCTCACTGCCTGCCCTGACCACACAGCCCAGCCCTTTGGTTAGTGGGGGCTTTCCACCACCTGAGGAGGAGACGCATAGTCAACCTGTCAATCCACACAGCCTGCACCACCTGCATGCTGCCTACCGTGTTGGTGAGAGGAGGTTCCTTTCTGTACTCCTTCAGTGGACCCCTTCTACTAGCTCTTAATTTGCTTATTATGAGGTCAAATATGGGATCAGATATTGGGGTAGAGGGTAATAATAGGATGCACCCTACTATGTGCTCACCCTTATCTCTCAGGAATGCTGGCACTAGAGATGCTGGGTCGCCGGGCACACAACGATCACCCCAACAACTTCTCCCGCTCCCCCCCTTACACTGATGATGTCAAATGGTTGCTGGGGCTGGCAGCAAAGCTGGGTAACACCTCCCCTCCCCAGGACCATTGTCCCCCCGACCTGCTCCCTCCACCTTCCTATCCCAGACCTCCTTCCTAGCTCTTGCTCAGAGTTGAGGCCTTGGTCGGGTATGTGTGCGTGCGCGGGGGGTGGAGGGTTACCTCAGCTCCTAGGGTGGAGGGAGGCTTTCTGCCAGGCCAGAGCTGAGATATGTAAGTTGGGTCCCTAGGGCAGAGGTGGCCACCCCCGTCTCATGCCCCTCCCCCCTGCCCCCCAGGAGTGAACTACGTGCACCAGTTCTGTGTGGGGGCAGCCAAGGGGGTGCTGAGCCCGTTTGTGCTGCAGGAGATCGTCATGGAGACGCTGCAGCGGCTGAGCCCCGCTCATGCCCACAACCATCTGCGTGCCCCGGCCTTCCACCAACTGGTGCAGCGCTGCCAGCAGGCATACATGCAGGTGACAATCCAGGAAGTACAGGGCAGGGTGGAGTACCTCCTGGGTAGTTATGGACCAGAGTGCTTAGTGTATAAGGGAGGAGGGGTGTGGTTCTGTGCTTTGTACCAAGGCTCACCCTACACACGTCCTTCAGTACATCCACCACCGCTTGATTCACCTGACCCCTGCCGACTACGACGACTTTGTGAATGCGATCCGCAGTGCCCGCAGCGCCTTCTGCCTGACACCCATGGGCATGATGCAGTTCAACGACATCCTACAGAACCTCAAGCGCAGCAAACAGACCAAGGAGCTGTGGCAGCGGGTCTCACTCGAGATGACCACCTTCTCTCCCTGAGTCTGGCACCCTTAGGGCCCTATACGGGGACACAGGCCCATGGCTATGGGGGTCCCTCACATAGAGGGAGTGAATCTTGGTTGGACAGATCATCTCCACTCAGTTCCCTGGTAGCCCAGACTGGCAGCTGCTCTTGGGCTGTAGCTTGGGGCCAAGATGTCTCAGACCCTAGAAACTTAGGGCTTGGGGAGACGGTCCTGTCTGGGAGGGGGCGTTGGGTGGCCTATGGTATTTATTTGGCATTTATAAATATATAAGCTCCTTTTTTACTCTAGTGTGCCTGGGCCTTTCCCTTCTTTTCCTCTATGTGCTGCTGCTATACCTTGAGCCAGGGGGAAAACAGATCTGATATTTGCTTTATTCTAGTTTTTTCACTTCAGTGAGGTAGACGAAACAGAAAAATAAGGATGTTTATTATGGACATTTCTAGCCCACAGCTTGGGCTTATACTCAGCTCTAAGAGCCACTGTACGACCTCATCCCCATTCAATGTGAATGACTTAGGGAGGCCGGGCCCCACGTAGATCCACTGCCTGACTAAAGGGGCCTCAATAAAAGGTCCCTCTCTTAGCCAGGTATAGATAGATATACTGCTGGGACTGCAGAGGAAAATCATTGGATTAATATGTTACATTCCTCTACACCTTGTCTGGACCCTCTTATTTCTCCCACCTCCCAATTTCACGGGTCAAAGGTACCTAGTACCATGACATGGGGTACCAAGTAAAGCCTCACTATCAGGCCCCAGAGCTATGGGAAAGAGATGCCCTTCTCAGCCATCGCAGGCCTGGGGGGGGCCACTGAGGTAGAAGGGGGAGGGGTCAGGCCACTCTTATTCCCCTTGTGGGCCCTGCTTTTTGCTGGTAATGGAAGGCTGGGAACATCAGCCCAGACTGGAACGCTGCAGTTCTTCCCGAAGCCACGAGGGTACTGCCTGTCCAAGCCGGTTCAGCAGCTTCAACAGCTCCAAGTTATGGTTTCGGAAAAAATCCGTAAGGAAAAGGCGGGACTGACAGGAGAAAAATGAAGGGAGACACAAATAGTAAGGACCAGGATGGAATCAGACCCTAGAGTTGGAACAGGACTATCCTTCCCAGACTTTACTTACCTCAGTGTCCATATCTGGGTACCTCCGGCCTTTGCTTTTGCCTAGACATCGAGTTTTACCACCTTCAAGTCCCTGGCACCAAAATCCCTTATCTTCATCAAACCTGTTCAACAGAAAAAGGACATTTGGTGGCAGGAAGAAAAGAAATTCAAGCCCCATAAATGTGTACTACCCCTCCCAGTCCACAAGGACACATTTCTCTTTGCGAAACAGGGTAAACCCATGTTTTCCAAATAGATGTGATCAGCCTGCTTCCCCACTTCACCCAGAGATTCCTCCCCTGAGTCATGCTCTCCCACCTGAGGGTCCGTGTGTAGTTCAGAAAGGGCGTGATACCCAGGAACTTCTGGATGCTCTCCATTGAGGCTGCAGGATTGGTACGCAGCTCTTGCCCATCCACAATCAGCAGCTAAAGGGATAGGGATGTGGTTCCCTCTAGATTCCTAAGAAGCCTCTAGGCTGAAGGGAAGGTGGACCCCAATGAGGGAGGGATCTTGGGGGGATTGTACCTGTCCAGAGGGGTAGTAAGTCAGCCAGCGTTGTAGATGGGTGGAATAATAGCCAGGGACAAGACAGCGGTTCTGCAGAGAGCGAAGTACCAGAGGGGCCTGGGAGGAAGCTGAAATCACCTGGTAGAAGGTATAGTTCAGAGCAACTGGGTCTCCGTGTGCACGCTGGTGCTAAAGGACAAGGAAGGGAAGGGACAGGTGATTATCAGAATTATTTTGTCCTTATTCTTGGTCTGGTGAAAGTACAGGCACCCCCTCCCTAAGGTACTAGTTGTTTCCCTACCCTCATTCTTTTTTCTCTAGTAATCACCAGTCCCACACCCACCTTCTCCTTAAGCCCCAATGTGTCCCTAGCTTCAGCCAGACCTGGTACCAGGAGTAGGCCCTGTCAGCAGGATTGGTGAGCACAGTGATGATCTTGGCTCTTGGCAGGAGGGCAGCCCCCCGCCGTGGTACAACCTCTGAATCAAAGTAGGTGGCACTTTTTTCAAACAGGAAGTCAGTGCTGGCATTAGAAGGAACAGGGAAGAAGTCCATATACCTAGGAAGCAGCAGAGGAAAGGCCCAGAGTGAAAAAAAACAGATGTCTGCTGGGAGAAGGAACTGTTTCTCTGAGAAACATTCAAAGCAGTCTCAGTCTCACCAGTCAATACCCTTGTGGTAATTAGGGCCATTGAAGAACTGAATCTCCTCAAAGGTGCTTGGGCTAGGGAAGCTGCTAGTCACAGCTGGGTGCAGGCTCAGGAAGAAGTGAATAGCTGTGGTCCCTAAATAGGAGAGAAGGACCAGGCCATTGTTGAAAAGACACCAGCTGAACAGCATGAGTTTGAAGGAAGTAAGAAAACAACCACTCTGGATAGTAAAACTCCCTTTGATCCAGCTATTGTGAGAGAAAATGACCTGTGAAAGGCCCAGGAAAGGGTTAAAACAGTGCACTCAGTCTTGATTGTAATATCAGAATCACTGTGGATCTTTTTAAACCTCTACACATGTGCCTGGGGTGTAGCTCAGTGGTAGAGCACTTGCCTAGCATGAGTAAGGCCCTAGATTCAATCCCCAGCACTGCAAAATACCAGAAAACATACAAAGAAATTAAACAAACTCCACAGATGATTCTGATATACAAACCAAGGTTAAGAATCCTTGTTGGGCTGGGGTTGTGGCTCAGCGATAGAGCAAGTGCAAAGCCCTGGGTTCAAATCCTCAGCACCACATAAAAATAAATAAATAAAACAGAAGCATCATGTTCAACTACACCTAAAAATAAAATTAAAAAACAAAAAAGAATCCTTGTTGCAGGAGTTTGGATTAAGGAGGAGTGGATACGAGAAAGGAATTCCTTGCAAAAGGAGTCTTTAAGGTAGAGCAAGAAAAGTTGGCTAAGGAAGGTTTACCTGTCTTCTGGGGTCCCACAATGAGGAATTTGGGGAGCCGATCACAGGTTTTCTCCTTGGACCAGATATCTTTGTGCCTCTTGTCATCACAGGGATTCTGAAGGCAAGGCCAAGATTCTGATAAGGCCTAATTTCCTAAGTCCCCATCCCATTATGTCTCTAGTCAGCCTGAGCTCCACCCTTACCTGCCAAAGGGGACTTCTCTCCTGGGGGAAAAGTTCAAAGTACTTTCGTGCAAGAGGGACTGGAGGAAGGGTCTGTAGGCGCAGCCGTGTCCAGCATTGGAGGAAGCGCACCAGGCTCTCAAAGGTGTACAGGCCCAACCGGTCATTTCCGTAATTGGACAAATGGGTCATAAAGATGCTGATCTGCAAGGGGGTGCCTGCATGTCAGATCTGGAAGCCTACCCCACCTCAGAATCAGCGTTGGTGAGTAAAGGTCCCAGCCTGCAAACACTTTGGCTGTCCAATCTTCTAGCCCTTCCTCTCAGCACCCTACCGGATTAAGTAGCACTGTCAGAAAGAGCTCTCCTCCTCGGATGCTCCGGTCTAGTTCACGAGAGCCTCCAGGATATTCATTATAGAAGATTGTGTGAGTGAAGAGACCACATGTCTGCCGGGGCAGCACCTGCAAGGAAAAGAAACAAGGATAGATGAAGTTTGAAAAGTAGAATTTTTTTTTTTTAATATTTATTTTTTAGTTTTCAGCGGACACAACATCTTTGTATGTGGTGTTGAGGATCAAACCCGGGCTGCACGCATGCCAGGCAAGCACGCTACTGCTTGAGCCACATCCCCAGCCCTGAAAAGTAGAATTTGAAATAGATGAAGGATAAAAGACCTGAGGCCCTGGGGTTCCCTGGATTTATAGAGGGCTCAGTCTGAAATTAAAGCAATAAAGCACTTACTATGTGCAGTGTTTTTTTAAATGATTTTTACCCCCTATATATGGATGAACTAGTAGGTAAAACTGTAAGACAATGCAGATTGGAGGCTAAGTGTGGGAGTTCCTCACCATGATGCCGTTGTGAATAAAGCCACGACGGTAGCGGGCAGGACGGAGATGGGGATACTCCTCGGTACTGGTCACCTGGATGCCCCACACAGATTTCCAGGCCTCATAGAGCTGCGTGTGGATGGGGTACACGCCCGAGTGGTGAGGGGCCACAGCATACCCCAGATCCGTGGGAATCCCATGCTCCTGGGAATGGTATAGACTCTCACCAGGACCTGGTGAGGTTTGGGGAGTAGAGGGTAACGAGGGTGGGGATGCCTCCATAGAAAGAAAACTGAAAATGGTAGGGAAAGGGTGACCCATTGGGGGAAGGTTAAAAAGGAAGCATTACCTCTGGGAGAAAGTATGGGGAAGAGATTCAAGGGTCTCACCAAAGCAAACTGTTTGTTGAGCCTCATCTGGTCAGCCAGCACGGAGCGATTGTGGAACAGGTGTGGCTGCATGTGGCTCCACATGTGGGGGAACCACCAGAACTCTTTGCGGTGCTTCAGCAGCATGTCGTCCCCTGCATCCTCCTCCTCTGTCCCTATGACCACACACTGACCACTGACCACAGCCAGTCAGACTGAGTACTCTTGTAACAAACACTGACCACCTTCCACCCTTGGGATATTATGACCCTCTGCCCACCCAAGATTTTCTATTTATCCACTGTCAACTTGATCTCCAGCAACTCACGCTAAATTCATGGCTATCACAAGCTCCTCACAGTAATCTGACCCCAAACCTCACCCCTTTTATCCAACTTGTCTGCCCAGGGAGATAAACAGTGAAGGGACAGATCAAACTAAGACTGATGTGCTGAAGGAGCAGGGGAGTAAGCTTACCAGTATGGTAGAACTTGCCCGAGAAGCCCAGGTTGAAGGTGAAGTTGGGGACTAAAGTCCTGAGTTTGTTCTGGGTGGTCAAGAGAGCCTGGGAAGAGTAATAGGAACATGACATAAATGGAAAGAGTAATCAGGACCCAGCAGATTGAAGAGATACATGAGCAGCAGTATTCTTCCTTGTCTGGAAAGGGCAGGAAACATTCCTGTGACAAACTCAGAACCAAGGCAGGGAGTCCGATAGGCCAGAGTTTGAACCGTTTCTAAAAAAAAATTGTAAGGAAAAATAAAGACTGACCTCAACATCAGCCACCTTCATGCGGGTACCTTCTTTGCCCACAAAGATATCATCAATGTCTACTAAGATATAGCGGTCAAGGTCCAGGCAGAGGCGCTTGCCAGTGAGGTATGCAACAGCATCAACGAAGACAAGTTTGTGGAGCCAAAATGAAAGGCCATGGCCAAAGAACACCCGCTGGATGCCATCATGAAGCCCCAGGTCCTGTACCACAGTGGGAAGTCGAGCCCGACGAGGCACTGGTCCTAGCACAGGGGGTTCAGCTGGCCGAAGGCTGGCAAGAAGCACTGGTTCATATGTGCTGTGATTGGATTGGAAGATGGTCCAGTCATCACCAGGCAGCGGCCCAGGTTCCAGGCGGCTAGGGCGAGTGAGATGTAGCAGAGGGGCAGAAGGATTCACTTGGTAGTCGCGTAGTCCCAAGTTTGAATGTAAAAAAAGGGGAAAGCCCTTGAGTTGAGCATTCAGTAGGCTGTGCTCATGGGCTCGGAAAAAGCCAATGATGCCCACACCATACTCCACACAGTATCGATCTAGCAGTTCCCGACTCCAGGCATCCAGGTTAACATACTTGAGCAGGTTCTCATAAATTACCAAGACATAGCGGCCATGGGTATGATCAGTCAATGTGGGCATATCCCCTCGACCAGGTGCCAACTCAGTGCTATAACGAAAACGACTAGACTCCAAGATGGCCACAATCTCCTGACCCAGTTGTGAGTATGCACTCTCCACAAACACAAGGACCACTGGTTCTGTTCGAGCTGTTTCTGGAGGCCTGGGCATTCGAGGAGGGACTGGAGGCCGTGCAAGGCCAGGGGCAGCTGCCCCACTACTGCTGCAGTCTCCCAAGGGCAGGGGCAGGGGTTCCTTAGCCTTGGGGCTGGTGGATACATAGTAAGCCAGGAAGCCCATGGAGCCCAGGCTGAAAGCAATCAGCAGCAGTATGAGGCGGTGCAGTTCCAGCTGCCGAGCTGGGCGTACCACCTTCCACAGCTGAAGCATGGCGGGGAAAATGAGGGAGAGATGGGAACCACCACAGGGGATGGGAGGTAGGAGTTCTATAGTCTGGAACTGTCTTGAGAGGATAAAAGGATAGGAAAATAAGGGAAAGGGATTCCCTCAGGGTCAGCTCCCTGAAAAGGTGAGTCAAGTTCACTTAGTAAAGGGTAGGGGAGGTAGAAGGAACAGTAGGGGGTAACTGGACAGAGTCTACTGGTCTCAAGTCACCATGGCCCCCTGGCCCATGGCTTCAGGCTGCAAATCTAGCCAGGCTCCACTTTTGGCTCTGGCGGAGCTCCTCACATCAGAATGTCAGTAAAGTTCACAATCTTGGCCCCACTATCTGTAAGACAGAGAAATCAATGTGTTACTTCTCCCTTTAAACTATATTAATCTATTCTTTTCAAAGCCAGCCTCAGCAATGGTGACTCGGTGAGACCCTGTCTCTAAATAAAATACAAATAAGGGCTGGGGATTTGGCTCAGTGATCAAGTGCTCCTGAGTTCGATCCCCAGTACCAAAAAAAAAAAAAAAAAAAAATCCATTCTCCTTACCCTTACCTCATTTCTCTTACCTCCTGTTCACTGGATGATTTACTTTCCAAAAGGAAAAAAAAAAAAAAAAAAAAGAAAGAAAGGAAAAAAGCTTCTATAAAAGAACACAAGTGGAGCACTATACCTTAGCTTCACAACTTGTAAGGAAATGAATTCTCCCATCTACAAGAGGCCAAACAGCCTAGGAGATTGAAAATGGGCCTGTTCTGAAAGGAGTTCTCAACCCATGACCGAACAGTTGGCCAACGAGCAAAAGTTCTGTTCTTTCTGTGAGGAAGGGACTGAAAGTCCCAGAAGTCCCATGCCCCAACGAACTATCAGATAAAAGGAAACTCATGAGTCTGTTAATCTTCTGTATCAATCAAACCCATCATCATAGCCAACAGCACTAACGAACTTGCAATCATATGGACACAATATGGGGGAACTCAAAGAGAAAAGAGATGGTGCTAAGCATTCTATTAATCTACTTTTCAAGTTAATTAACTTGGAGACTATGAGACTCTCTTTTCCACTGCTTGTGAAAAATTTCCCACCTCTGGCCCTTTACCTCACCTGTGTCAGAGTAAGAAGAGATAAAAATGGAGCCCCAGAGCAGGCATGTCACTAGAACCTGAGAAAAGCCAAAAAGCTGAGACTAGAGTCTCTCTCCCTGTCCTTTCCAATTCTCCTTTCTAACATGGTACTATATCTCCATTCCTGAATAGCTCAGAAGGGTCTCTGAACTAGCCTGGAGAGACATGAAGGGTAGATGCAGTTACAAAAACATAACAGACTGGGGCTTGGGTTGTGGCTCAGTGGTAAGGCACTTGCCTAGCTTGCATGAGACACTGGGTTTCATCCAAGCACCACATAAAATAAATAAATGAAATGAAGGTATTGTGTCCATTTACAACTAAAAAAAACCCCAAAAAACAAAACAACAACAACAACAAATAAAAACAATAAACCAACAAACAAAAAATCTGAATGGGAGATAAGAGAGCAACAGGAGGTTAAGTTATAATATGGCAATGAAAATGAGTAAGGGCAGCATGATCTGAAAACACAGTTTTAAGGAGATATAATTTGGGGGACTTCTTATCAGATTGCTTCTGGAAGCTTTACAGTCACTCTCTTCACCTTCACCACTCCCAGTAAAGCTTTGGGTTAGTAATCCCTCTCTATCATCCATTCCAATTCATACACCCTAGAGGTGAATAGGTAGAGACAGGGTCCTTCAGAATTGAGAGAGCTGTTTATAAAGAGTTCAGCTTTGGGGCTAGGGTTGTAGCTCAGTGGTAGAGCACTTGCCTAGCATGTGTGAGGCACTGGGTTCAATTCTCAGCACTGCATATAAATAAATAAATAAAGGTCCATTGACAACTGAAAAAATATTAAAAAAAAAAAAGTGTTCAGCTTTGGCCTGGGTAAAATTAATAAAGAGAGCTGGGAGGGAGGAGAAAAACTGTGATGGGGGACTAGGGATGTAGATCAGTGGCAAAATGTGTTTGGCATGATAAGGCCCTAGGTTAAATCTCTAAGTACCAAAAAAGAATTTTAAAAAAGGTCATGGAGGGCTGGGGTTGTGGCTCAGCGGTACAGCATTTGCCACGTACATGTGAAGCCCTGGTTCAATTCTCAGCACCATATAAAACAAAATAAAACAAAACAAAACAAAAATTTAAAAAAAGGTCATGGAAAGGGGTGAATCCTAAGAATCAGAGAAATTCTTAGGGAAAACAGTAGTGAATAGAAGTCATTGGGGGCAAGTTGATGTTAATAACACATGTTAATAACAGTTTATTTATTTATTTATTTTTGTAGTATGGAGATTGAACCCAGGGCCCAATGCATGTTAGACAAGCACTCTACCACTGAGCTATATCCCCAACCCTTTTTTGAGACATGGTTTCACTAAGTTGCTGAGGCTGAACTCAAACTTGTGATCCCTCCTGCCTCAGCCTTCTGAGTAGCTGGGATTTCAGGCACATGTCATCATGTTCAGCTCAGTTAATATCTGTTGCAAGCTTACTACCTGCCAGAGATTTTCCTGAGAGTTTTACCTATACAGATAGTCCCCAAACTAGAATGTTTCAACTTGCAATGGTGTACAAATGACAACCATTCAGTATAAACATAATCTGACTTTTGGGATTGTTTTGTTATGGTTCTGGGGAATGAACCTGGGGTCTCATGCATCCCCAGCCCAAAGAATTTTGAATTTTGATCCTTTCCTGAGCTAGTGGATATGGAGTACAATACTCTTTTTTAATGCTATATAGGGGCAGTGGCTGTGACCGGTTCTCATACAGCTATGTAATCAGAAGGTTAAACAAATGATATTTTACAGTATACTGTACTGCTAAGCTATCTGTAGGTTTGGTGTATTAAATGCATTTTTGATGTAGGTATCTTCAATTTAAGATGAGTTTTTCAGGATGTAACCTCATGGTAAATTTAGGAGCATCTGTAGTTAATACTCACACCAGCCCTAAGAAGGAGGGAAGAAGTAAGTAGTATTATTTCCATTTTACATGACTAATTTGAAGCCCAGAGAAGCTTAGTAACCTGCCCAGGACCAAACAGCTGTCAGTGGAGAAACTGGAATTCAGTCAGGCATGTCAAGTTTCAGAGCCCATGCGGTTAACCACTGCATCTTTAGCTTCATGACTGGAAGAAGCACTAATATTTGGGGAAGAAGTGACGAGAGACCTACTAGGGTGAGGCAATAAACACTGGAAGAAGAACATGGGGGAGATGTGTGTGTAGCAATAGGTTTCTGAGGAGGAGAAACCAAGGGGTCATCAGGTCCCAACACTAACAGGCCCGGGAAGCCTTGGGGGTGTGGGCCCTGTCCCGGGAGACAAGCAGAGCAGATGCTGTGGAGGAAAGGGAACCGAATGGGATCCGAGGCTCACGGAGGGGGGACCCTGTTGGGGGGAATACGGGGTCACAGGTGGAGATGAGGGCACGGATGGGGGGCATTAAGGGGAAGGGGAGCATTAATAGGAGAGGGCACAAGGGTCGCGCCGAGGCGACGCGGGGGTGACATCGAGGCAGGTACTGGGCTGGAAGAGCCCGAGGGGACGGACCCCTGTACTGGAGGTGGGGGGCGACCTGAGGCGAAGAAGGCAACTCCGAGGAAAGATAGTGGAAAGGACTCAGGGCGAGGGGCGAGGGGCGAGGAGGGCCGCACTGAAGGGCCGCCCAGGACGACCCAGCGGGTGGTTATGGTGGCAACACTCAAGGGAAGTCTGTGAGGAACTGAGGGTGATCGGGTTGGGGGGGGGGCACACTCTGAATGTGGGAGGTTGTTCTCCTCAAGGGCGGCTCACCCGGCGGAGTGGGCGGCGTCCCCGCGGTCCCCGGGCTCCGCCGCGTCCCGGGGCTGCCCGGCTTCCCTCCTCTCCGGGCCTCCGGCCGCGTCGCGGCGGCTCCGCCATCTCCGAGCGAACGCTCTACCGCAGCCGGGCTCAACCACCCCTTCCACCTGGGGGAGGCGGCGCGCTGCCTCTCTTTTCACCCACTCGGGTCGCGACAGCTCCGAGCCAGGCAGTCGCGCGACCGAGGCGCGAGGAACCCAAATAGTCCTCCGGTGTGCTCAGCCCGAGCCGCGGTCTAGGAGTCGCCAGGCTCCGCGCCCAGGCCGCAGAAGCGTACCCCCTACACCCCAAACGGTGGCACAGTCTGGGGAGCGTCGGGCGCCGCGGCTCCAGAGGAGGGGCGGGCCGAGGGTACGGGCTCGTCCACTCAGCCAGGCGGAGGGGGAGCCGGGCCGGCCCACTGAGCAGGGGCGGGGCCAGCCCGGAACGCAGGCGGGGCCCGGAGGCGTGGCAAAACCCGTAGCCCACCTCCCCCATCCCCACCTCTTTTGGTACCAAGGATTGAACCCAGGGGTGCTTAACCACTAAGCTGCATCCCCAACCCCTTTTATTTTGAGTCAAGGTCTCACTAAAGTTGTTTAGGGCCTCGCTAAATTGCTCAAGTTGGCCTCGAACTTGGGAACCTCTGGTATTAGGAGCCTCAGAATCGCTGGGATTACAGGCGGGTGCCCCCACATCTTGGTCTTCTCCCACCTCTTAAGGCCCCCGCATCATCTCTGCCACCCCTTGACTCCCCTTAGCAGCCAGGGGGCCTATAAGAAAATCCTCTTCTGAAAAGATCCTAAAAGGAAGTGGGAGAAGATACTTCTCTCCATCTAAAGCCTTGTAATGCAGGTTGCTAAAATCTAAGCCCCTGGGCATAAGCCTCCAACAGCAATAACACAATGGACTGTTTCAAGGTTATTTTATTAAATATCTTCAGTTCAAGGTTTCATTGTAACAAAGCTATGAAGGGTCTACCAACATTCAGAACAAACACTATTTTTAAATTATTTCTATGTCATGCAAAAATTCTGCATCAAATGCCTTCCATTTCCTGTTTAAAAGATTATTTTAATAGTCTATTGTCTATAGATGCTGACATTAGCCCCAGAAGAGGAGTAAGAATGCTAAGAAGTGGGGCTGGAACAGCCATATGAAGCTATGGGTCTCAATGAACTCTAAGACCATTTGTCTTCAAGCCAGCAAAACCAAACCCTGTGGTGAAGGTATCTGCGAGCTGGCACTGCAGGCTGCAGGGCAGGGTGGGGGGTAGGGCCCAGGGGCTGGGGCATGCATGAGGCGCGAGAGGAGCCTTGCTAAATCCAAGCATCAGCACCTGTGAGTTTGCTCTCCTCAGCTGGCTCCAGAGTAAACCTGTAGCTTTGCCTCTTTTCCCAGCTCCTGTGCCTCCTGAAGTTAGTCCAGGGAGCTGGAGTCTACCCACCTTTCCCTCAAAAGTGCAGATATTTGTGCAGATAAATATGCACAGTTGTTTTGGGAGAAACCCAAGGCTATGACCAATTGCTCCTCCATTATCTTCTCATAGTGGCTTAGGGTAGATCTTTTCCTCCTGGAATGGAACTCCTTGAGCAGAGAGAGACAATGAATGTAGGAGTCTTTGCTCTGGACACCTTTTTTGGGTACATGCAGGTGAGGGGAGGTGATGCCCATGCAGATTGTCCAGCAGTAAGTCTATACTTCAGTTGGTCAGTAGAGGCCTCTTTCAAGAGGACGCTTCTTGCCAGAGCACTCAGGTCAATCTCAAAGACAGGGAAAGAGATGGACGTGCAGCAAGAGTAAGAAGGGAGGCAACCCTGAGGGCAGCCTGAATGCATAGAAACAACCACCACCTCTTATCCCACTGCCTCACTCCTCCCATCCCACAGGGGCACTTCACGGAGGGCCCAGGTCCAGATGAGGGTCAGCATGGGGGACCACCACCATGAAAAGGCAAGACAAAGATGGTCCAGAAACAGAACTGCCAAAGGCGACAAAGGGAGCCCTGACCAGGGCCTGGCTCCCTCCTTGCTAAGTTATCAAGAACACAAACACGAAGCAAAGCAGTAAAACCTCCCCTTCCCACCTGCAGGGATTAGGCCTCAATATCAGGGCCCAAGGGCATTGTGCATCCTATAGAAATGGATGAGTAAGTAAGTGCATGTCAGACTAACACGAGGTTTCTCATCAGCTTCATAGCAGACATACTTCTGCAGCACCAATTCTCTTCCCTTCTATGCTAAATGAACAGTACAGCAAAGTCCGGGACCTCAGTCCTGAGGCCACTGCTTCTCAGCTGCGTCCACAGCTGGCTGAGAGTTCTGCATTCTCTCTCAAGTAGGTCTAACAGCCATGGTGTTTTCATCAGCTTCTTTCTAGGTGCTTATGCAGTTTCCGAAGAAGCCCACTCATAGACCTGGGGTAAGCAGGCCACCTCAGGGGCCATAATCACATCATGGCCCCCAAAGCTCTGTCAGAGTCCTTGCCTGGTCCCCCTGGGTCCGTGGGGGTTCTGAGGCTAAGCTCACCTCTTCAGGACTGGTGGGTGAGCCCAACGTTCATGCCAGGATGGGCATCACACAAACTCCTGTCTTCTTGCAAGCCCAAGGGCTGTAGGTGGTTTTGAAATGCTTCATGGTACAGATTCCATTTTTTTTTTAAACAATCTTTTTTTTTTTTTCTTAAATGTAAAAAAAACACCTCGGTACAGCAGAGACAGACACGAAGGGCGGGCGGGAGGGCTGCATGCAGGGGCGTGCATTGGCTGCTGCCGCTTTGTAATTTAATTGTTTTAAACCTCAAACGAACAGGACTGCCGCTGTCACTCAGGCCCTCCAGAGCCACTGGCTGCGAAGGTTCGACCTCCAGCTGGAATCTCCTAATCCCCCTGTTAAACAGGACAGAAGGTGGTAATAGAATAGAGGACAATGAGCACACACAGATGAGGTCCTAGGGCCTAAGAAAGTTGGGGTGGGGGAGAAGCTAATGTTTAAATATAACACTCTCTCACATTTAAGTACTTAGTAAGTGCTTTACTTATAGTATTTTATTTATTTAACCCTTACAAAAATTTAAGGAGGTAGGCACCACACTTGTCCTCTCTAATAGCTAAGGAAACTAAGACTTAGGGAGGATAAGTAACTGTGTGCACCTAATTTGGAGTCATAGAAGCAGACTCAAATTAGAGTTCAGAGTGTAACTTATTTCAACCACACTCCCCAGCCTTTGCCATTCTTCTGGGATGGCCCATACCTCCTTCCCAAGTTTCACCTCCTAGCCTACTCTTCCTTCTTTGACCCCACCTGTCCCAACCCCTCCCTGCCCCTTCTCCCCTACCACAAGCACCTGTGGCTGAAGCTCACTGCAATGGTGCGGCAGGGGCCCCTGAGCAGTGATAGTGGACATTGAGCCACTTGCCATCCCGGCGGTGCCAGACCCGGGTCTCCTCTGACTGGCTGGTACGAGGCCGACCCTGCCCGTCGATGTACTGGGTGAGACGGATGTAGGCGATGCAAGCTGCGTCCTCCCCAATCACGTGGACATGTGGGTTTAGGATGGTGGTATGGATGGGCTTGCTGTTCTTGGACAGGACTGCAGGGGGAAGGGCAGGGTGGGGTAGGTAGGAGTGTGTCAAGCCTGGGCACCAGCATTTTATTCCCTCCCCACACTTCCAAGTCTTACCCTCCCACTAGCAACTGTTCACAGAATCTCCAAGTCCCCCATATACTCTCCAGAGGTCAGGATACCCCATTATATTAGACTCAATTATCCAAAAGAAATAAATGTGGATAACAGTATCAATATAGCAGCTATTCTTTTAATCAGGCATTGTACTGGAGATTTTATATGCATGAGATGTATTTTTTCGTTGATATTTTCTTCATATAAGAAGGAAATAGGCTCATGGAGATTAATCTGTCCAAATCACACATTCAAACTCATATGACTCTAATGGGAGGCTCATATGACTATATGGTCTTTTGACTTTTACTTATTTATTTATTTTTGCAGTGCTGGGGATTGAACCCAGGGCCCTTGTGCATGCCAGGCAAGCACTGTCTCACTAGGCCACATCCCAGCTTCTCTCTACTCTGTTAGGCTGATGTTTAGATTTCGTAAGGTTGGCTTGTTGCTGCTGCAGAGCAAAATCATGAACTCAAAAAACATTCAAAATAGATTCACAACTTGAAAAGGTACCAAAGTTAAAATAACCAAAGCACGCAGCTCAGGTTATCCCCAGAGCTCCCAGCATCCTCTTGGGGAAAGGTAAAGGAAGTTGGATTGCCATTATCAGCATAGGCTGTATAACTGTGAGGTTTTTATTGAGATTCATTTTTTAGTTTAATTCCATAGTTACATAGGGGTTGCAGGAGATTCTCCTTAGAACTAATAGGAACTCTGGAATTAGATAGCCAAGGGTTTACATAGGCAGCTGAAATGTGGAGAGGGTGGGAGTCAGTGGAAAAAGCAGCAACAAAATAAAACTCAGGAGAGAATGGAAAAGGCCTAGGATAAAGTGGGAAAGAAGAGGGAAAAATAGGAGTAGGGGTGAGGAGTGGTTCTGAGAGTAGAGAGAAAGATGGGAAGGTGGTCACGATTCAATTCCTTATCTCCTGGAACTGCTAGGAACTATCCAGTATATATATCCCCCCCCCCCGCCCCCGCCCAATCCAGGATGCCTGCCTCCCTTAATATTCAGAAGGATTCTAGCCACTACTTCCAATCTCATAAATTTCCACCAATGCCAGTTACTTGCTTGTACATTCTTATTCTGGTTTTAATTTCCTCTATTATGAAACCTGCAGACATAGAGCTTCATTATTATTTGCTGATATCATCTCAATCTAATCTCAAAGGGTTTGTAATCAATCTTGAAAAGAGATGAGGCTTAAAGAAATACAGTGACCTTGATGTGGTGACCAGCACTGCCCTGAGGCAGTTGGAGAATGAATGGGTAGTTGGGGTTCTGGAGCAGGGCCTTCTAAGGTGCCAGTTTAAGACTACCAGGGCACAAAACTAGCAGAGCACAAGGAAGAAAGCATACAGAATGTGATGCAGCAGGAAGGTCAAATAAAATGGAAATGAGCAACTAGGATGAGGAGGTGAGCAGGGGACAGAGGCAAAGGGGTGAAGGGGCAGGCAGGAGTATATCAGCAGCACGAACCCACTCACGATTCTCAAAGTAAAACTTATGGAAATCCATCCCCTCCACGAGGTTACCGAGGGCCTCAGGCTCAAATGAAGTGAGACCTGGGTCACAAATCTTCCTGCAGGAGAAAAATAAATAAATAAAGCAAAACCTAGCTTGTCAGGCCTCTATGGGATATTTGTGTCTTCTTCCTCATAAGTGGTGTGTATCCTGTAGTAGCAGGTTGGTGATGGGCCATGCTTCACAATGCAGCTAAAATCTTTGGGGCCTGCTGCCATGGGCTGGCTAAATCACAGGAAATCTATGTGGAAGGGCTCCCAACCTAAGCACTTAGGGTTTAACTCACACACTATGCCCAAACCTCAGGTGGCCTTTTCTCTGGGATCCCAGTTGCTTTTTGGAAGCAGAGAAGGCCCTGAGAGACATTTCAATGAACAGGTTTCTACTCACGTGTAGGCCTCAAAGTCCCCATTGTTGATGGCTTCAATCAGCTGTTCTGTGATCTTAATGATCTCCTGTTTTCGCACTGTGGGAGTAAAAATCCAACAATTTACAAACTGGACAACCTCCTAAGTAACAGAGAGCCCTCCTCAACCCTTCATGGAGTTCCCTGTGATCTTTTTGTCAAAGACATCCCTCTTGTCTGACTGTAAGTTCCTTTGCAGGAGGAGCAAGCTCACCTTTCCTTCCATCCCTTCAGTGGTGTGTGCAAAGCCAATGACCACCTCTTTTCCAAGCCAACCCATTAATTATGGTTCTCTGGCTTTTGTCTCCCTCTCCATCAACAACCAGGTCACAGAAAACACTCTTTTAACAGCTGAGGAGCCTGGAGCACCATGAATGTTCTATGTGGAATCTGTGCATCCCATCTCTAGCAGGTTCAATCTCTCTGAGAAGCATCTCCCAATATGGCTGTTTCCACCCCCATTTACTTCTTTCACCAGAAGGGGCTCAGTCAGGTCTCAATTACCACCCTTACTCTTAGCCTTCATTCAGTGGCCCAGAACCTAGCCTTGGGCAATAGCCAGCCTGAGAGCAGAATCTAGCCGAGGGATGAGGGCTGCGGGCTGCCAAAGGATGAACAGAACCCTAGGATAGATGCTTCATTCTCTTCATCCTGCTCATCTCCTCCACAGGGCTTCTATGGGATAAGGGATCTTGGAACTGTAAAAACTCTTGACAGCCTCTCACCCAAGAAATGGCTCCATTTACTCTAGACAAGCTTTGGGAAAGCTATAAATCTCAAACCAGCTCTCATGCTAGGATGTGTCCCTCAAGGAAATCAAGAAAAGGCTAAGACCAAAGGCAAGCAGAGATGGTGCCTTCAGAGCCTCCCTTCCCACCCCATCCCAAGCCCAGAGAGAGCTGGTGACATCCTGCTCTCCTAGGCAGCTTAGTTACAGGAAACTCTACTATTAGCAGAGGATGCCAGCAGGGAAAGGGAGGACTCAGACTGAGCTGGGGCTAACCCTAACCCAAGGCCTCACTGGTCCAGCCTTTCCTCACAGGAGCAAGAGGCTGCAAGACAAATGCATTAGAACAGCACCAGCATGGCACAGCTGGGCCAGCACAGTCAAGAGGCATAGCTGGGAGGGAGTAGTGCAGCCAATGGTGGCCCCACAGTCACCACCACTGGGTAGGCAGCTCTGGGTAAGCAAGCAGCAAGTTCGGGGAACAACGAGCTCTATTCCCTTTCTAAAGAGGCAAGCAAGCATGTCCACACAACACACGGCCCCACTCTAACCCAACCAAATCCATCTGGAGGACCTGACTGGGGCCCCTGTGGGTGAAGAGGATTGTGTTTAGAAACTCTACAAGGAAAGACAATGGGAGGAAAAGAAGCAAAGAGAGGCATCACAGACATCAACACAGACAGAACTAAAAATATCAAACGAACAGCCATTAACCTTGCGAGGCATTGTATTAAAACCTTCTACTTTCTCATTTCTTTTTATAACATTTGAAGTAGATGCCATTTTCTCCCTGCTTTATAGATAAGGAAACCTAAGCTCTGGGAGGTTTAAAGCTACTTCACATACTTCTGAAAGTAGCATAGCTTGATTTAAACTCGGGTCTGCCTCACCCCAAACCTTGTGCCCTTAATATGACGTTATGCTGAGCTTCAAGAAACACTACACAACACAGTTCCTCAGCTATTTCAATTTTACCATTGTCCCCCTCCCACGGACCCAATTTCTGACACTGGTCCTCCTCCTGGCTGCTGCCAAGGCAAGGCCCACTGCACACCCCAGTGGCTTTCTACTCCCTCCCTCCATGCCACATTCTGCCACCCATTCTTCTGGTATTTCTCTGGGCCTCAGGCACAGGGCCTCTAACTGGAATAAACAGTGCCTCCAGCTGTTCCCCCACCCCAGGTGCAGGTCTTGCTCCTCAAGCTAAGACAGACAGCTGGGTTGGGCTGACAGCTCTGGAGGGGATCCCTGGGGGACTTCAGGATGAGCCAGGGAGTGGGAAGCCAGAATGTGCCTCCCTCACACTTACTGGCTGAGGAGCTGAGAGAAGGCTGGGGCTGCATGCCTGCAGAGGGGGCTGTTCTGTCCCGGGAGCTCCGTCCTTCAGGCATCGAGCTGCCATTCCCAGTGCGGAGCGGGGCAGCTAGCCAGCCAGGGCAGGGCAGGGCAAGGCAGAGCAGCCAAAACAAACAGAACAAGGCAGGTGAGCGAGCAAGCCAGACAGGACCCAAGCCCATGGCACAGAGCCGGGGCAAGGTGACGCCTCAGGCTGCTGTGGACGCTGGACCACATCCCACTCTTCTGCCTCTGCCAGAGAGGCCCTACCAGGCTGAAGCACTGGGAAGGTGCACAGACCTGGCCTTGCAGCTTCCAGAGGAGCCTTAAATCGGCCTATCCTAGGACCACTGCTCCTGGGGAAGACGTTTGAGGGGGCTAGGCCATGAGGTCAAGAGCCCAGCAGCGAAGGTACCTTCTACTCTGCCAGCATTATCAGAATTGAACTGATCTGGCCTGATTCCCAGCAGCCCTGGCGATACTATTCTTTATTGCCTTATTTCTTTCGATTTTTGGAGTTTCCAAAGTTTGGTTTCCCTCATTACCAATAAGCATGCTCTCTCAGCTCCGTCTTAACAATATCCTTAGTCTTTTCTGTTGGCCTGGCTGAAGGTCATTTACTGAAGGCAAAGGGAGCAATTCCAAGAGGCCAACCCAAAGAGTAGGGCAGATTCCCATTAGTTTGGCCTGCCAAGCTTCCCACACACCCTGGTACTCTGGCCAATCCCAAGCTTAGGTTGGTGATCCTCACAAGACCTCCAAGACACAGCTGAGTGTGGCTTTACAGACATCAGATCAGTTCTCTTATCATTTGTGGCCAGACCTCGGGACTAGAGTGACCAACTCATCCCTGGGGCCCACGACAATTTTGGCTTTTTTATTTTCTTTCTTTCTTTTTGGTAGCAGGGATTGAACCCAGGGCACTTTAACCACTAAGCCACAACCCCAGTCCACCCCCCGTTTTTTTGTATTTTGAGAGAGGGTCTGCTAAGTTGCTTAGGGTGTTGCTAAGTTGCTGTGGCTGGCTTTGGATTTGCAATCCTCCTGCCTCAGCCTCCCAGTTGCTGGGATTACAGGTGTGTGCCACTGTGCCCAGCTCCCCCGACCCACCCCTGCCATTTTGTGGTGCTGGGGATCCAATCCAGGGCCTTGCATATGCTAGGCAAGTGCTCTGTCACTGAACTACATCCTCAGTCCTTGTCCTGGTTTTGAAACTGGAAGTTCCACATCCTGGGAACTTCCTTGGTCCTGGAAAAACCAGGACAACATTCACCCTACTTTTCAAGGACCTCAGATGTCCCTATTCTAAGACATCACATCATTTTCAACAGCAGAAACAGCTCTTTGAACCCTGGATCCAGGTATAGCTAATGTAGCTACTGTAGACATGGGTCAAAAAAGAGTCCTCTTGCCTGGCTCAGCAACCAGACAAGAACCTCATACCTTGGCCCATGGAAAGTGGATTTTATGTCAAGACTTCTCCTGGGGTATAAAGAGCCACTAGTCCCAGTTCTGGGAACAGAAAAGGCAGGTGCCCCATCAGAGCCAAAGTACCTGTGTTATGGCTGGGGTCCCTTCCCCACCAAGGGCCAACACTTACCTTTGAGGTCCTCATCTTCTGTAGTGGTGTTGCAGCTCTCTGTGGAGCCCTGTGGACCAAAGAAAAACATGTTTCTATATGCTAAGGCCTTTGGAAGCAGAACAGAGCAGAACATGGGACCAGGAGGAATCACAGAGGCTTCAACCTCTACGCTTGCTTTCTGGCTTATTGGTTTCCCAAATGCCCTACCCAACCTTCCCAACTCAGTAAATGGTATCATCTACCTAGTCACTTAGGCTAAAACCTGGAGTCATCTTTGATTCTTCTCTTTCTCTCTTTTCTTTATATCCCAGTCAGCTAATATAAAATAAAAATCCATCACTTCTACTTTCAAGATAAATCCCATGTCTTACTTCTTCTCTTTAAATGAACAGCTACAATCTAACATCTGAACCATGATGATGGCTTCTGGGCTTCTGTACTTTCACTCTTGTTATCTCCCTGAGTTCTTGCTCATATGTGGCCACAGTAATCTCTTGAAATGCAACTTAGATTATATTATTCCCCTGCAAAGAACTGCCAAGAGCTGGAATAAAATGCAAACCCTACCACACATCCTATCTGCTTTTCCAAATTCAACACCCTTCTCTGGCCTTTGCTTACCATGATAAGCTCCACTTGAGTCTTCTAGCATGTGTCTCTGCAGCTGCAGTCCCTCTGATCCATAGTTATTTGGCCATCTCCTTCCCACTGACATTTAGTTTCTAGCTCAACTATCCCCTCCTGAGAGACCTTTCTCTGACCATTTAAAGACCCTGTAAACTCTCTCTTTACCTTGTGCCACTTTCTTGTTTTGTTTTGTTTTTTTTTTTTGGTACCAGGGATTGAACTCAGGGGCACTCAACTACTGAGCCACATACTCAGCCCTATTTTGTATTTTATTTAGAGACAGGGTCTCACTGAGTTGCTAGAGCCTCACTATTGCTGAGGCTGACTTTGAACTCATGATCTTCCTGCCTCAGCCTCCTGAGCTGCTGGAATTACAGGCATGCACCACTGTGCCTAGTTTGTGCCTAAATACCCATTTTCTTCAGGGTATTTAGCTCCATTGGATTATATCTTATTTAATTCCTGTTCATCTGCTCCTCCCCCTTCCCCACAGACAGGACATGTGCTTGTCACCTCTGTAAACCAGAGCTGTGGAAGGTTTTTGAGCTCAATAATACTTTTTATTTTTTTAGAAAGAGTTTTTTTTTAGAAAGAGAGAGAGAGTGAATTTTAATATTTATTTTTTAGTTTTTCGGCGGACACAACATCTTTGTTTGTATGTGGTGCTGAGGATCGAACCCGGGCCCACGCATGCCAGGCGAGCGCGCTACCGCTTGAGCCACATCCCCAGCCCTCAGTTTTCTTTTTGGCTAACATTTTTTCTCACTTAAGTTCACAACTCATAGAGGAAAATTCTATTATTATTACAATGCCCCTTTACAGATAAGAAAACTGAGGGACTTGCCCAGAGGTCTGGAGACAGGTCTGTTGGACTGCAGAGCCTGGGCTCGGAGTTGCTAAAGTTTGCCCTTCTTCAGAACGAAGCAATTAACAGACATACGTTACCTCCAACCCAGCCTCTGTGAACATCTCAGCATCAGGGTGCAGGCTGTAGGTGGCCACTGGCATTAGACCCTGTACCTAGCCCACCTGTCTTCTGCTAATCTGGAAAGCAGGAGACTGGCTCAGGAGCCGCTCACTCACCTTGATCCCATCTGTAGCATTGTGCACCACGGTGGTTTGTGGCTCCTGAGGGAAAAGATAAAAATTACCTTCTTGACCTGGAGACAGACCTATAGCTCCTCCCTGAGGGAGCCCAACCCCAAACCAGGACTCCCAGAAACTCTATAATGGCCACTGAGGCCCACCCACCATCCCCTCAAGACAAAACATTCTTGCTCAACTGGGGTCTCAAAGATCTGGGAAGCCCTGGATTGAGGTGACAGCACTGGCTAGTAAGAAAGAAAGGCCTGGAAGAAGCAGGTACCTAAGAATTTGAGACAAGGGTTTCTGCTTGTGCTGAGAGTTCTTTCCACATGTCCCCCATCCTGGCCCTGCCAGATAAGTATATAGGAGGAGCCATAGAACTCAGGGCACAGGACAAGCCCTGCTAACATTGTTCATCAAGGGGTGCACGGGAGGCAGGGACACAGGGAGAAGAGAATGATAAGATCTCCCAGAAAGGCCCAGGATGCACTCTCAGCAAGCTTGAGTACAGGGAGCTGCCCACTTTGTCTACTTTTTGCTTTCTCCTGGCACCATGCCAGGCAGCACAAGGGTCCACAGGACACAGAGGGCCCCTCCTCTCCAAGTCATCCCTTTGCTAACTCTAGTTATCCTCCACTAGCAGAGGGAGCTCTGAGACACACAGTGCCTCTTGGAAGAGCCTAAAGAGAACTCAGATGGGGTTCTCCAGGATCCCAGAGATCTTGGCACCATCCAAAGGTGGGTAACCCTTGTCCTTCTTCCTGTTCCTGCCTTTGCAAAGGAGAGGATGAGGCAGATTCTACAAGGAGGTCTCCAAGAACTGATGTACAGTCTCCAAGAAGACCCTTACCCTCTCCTTTTATAAGCAACTCACCTTCCCAGCCCCAATGGAAGACCCAATGGGGGTCCCAGCTGGGGGCTGGGAGGTTTAGCTGAGAGCCCTGATCACTCTTCCCCACAACCGCAAAAGGAGCAGGAGCAATGGTTCTGCCATGCAGGATGGAACATGGCCAAGCAGGAAAATGAAGGGCAAGGGGCCTATGGGATGGCACACAGAGCAGCCTGCTCTATAGGAATCAGAAAAGGAAAGAGGCTAAGGAGTCTGGGGAAAGAGGGCAAGAAGAGGAAGAGGGAAGGAGCAGGAGGCAGCCAGGGGCAGAGGCAGAGAAGCTGTAGTCAGGAGGTACCATGGCCGTCTGCAAGGGCGCGGGCTCTTGGGCTGGGCTTACGAGACTGTTTTTGTTGTTGCTCTGTGGCTGAGACAAGAAAACAGATGGTTTAGTTCCTCCAGAGTCACCAAGGCTGCTCAGGTTTGACTCCCAGACCTCCCTTGACCCCTGACCTGGCCTGGAGGAGCTAGGCCTGAGGTGGCCATCATAACACTATGCAGATGGGAGCCATGGCTGGAGAGATGATCAGTGGAAGGGACTATTGTGAGAGGCCCAGAAACCTAACTCTGGAGACACCCTCAAGGTGGGACTAGTCAAAGACTTGTTTTAGAGCATCTCTCCAGAAATGTTTATTCCACGTACCATGTCATTGCACAATCACATCTGACCTGAAGAAATTTAGGGTCTTCCTTCCACTTCACAGGTAGAAAGGAGAGTGATTTATAAGAAAGCAGAATAAATTCAGACACTCTGGTGCCCTTATCTGTAGGCAATCTCCTGCTACCCTCCACTTGGCATCTGTATTTTCTTCCCCTTAAAATACTAGCTAGAAGCCTGATCTGAAAAGAAAAGGAAGAAGAGCAAGAATACCTGGCCTAGGAAATGGTGTCCAGAGAGGAAAGGGGTGGAATTAAAATTTAAATACAAAATGTATCCATGGACCAAAGGGAGCTGAGACAGGGTAGTGCTAGTCATCTTCTGCCCTATAAATCCTGAACTTGATCAGCTGGAATTGAAGGCAGAGCTCCGAGGGCAAGCAATTCTTGGGTGGGGGCTGTGGATATGGTTCCAGAACCTAGTCCCCAGGAAAGAGCAGGCCACCCTGCAGGCCAACATTCCTAACAGCAACATGACCATAAGGGATCTCTCCTTGCCATTCAAAACATTAAAGTGGCACAGCAGGGTGGGGCTAAGAGGAAGCTGATCAGGAAGGAAGGCCAATCTCAAGGGCAAGAAGCCACATCATTGCTCTGTTCATCTAATAAGTCCCTAACCAGTATATAGTCTTACTGGGTGTTCAGGTGGAGTTTTGGCCACCAAGGAATAGTCTGATGCCTTTAACAGGAAGAGACAAATGTCCCTGTGCTTACCGCCTATGGCTACCGCCTCTGTGCAGAGTGTAAATGAGGACATGTTGACAGCTAGCATGTGCTTCTTCTCTCCCAGGACACACACAGAAGGCATCCAGACTGTCCTACATCTTGCCTGGAAGCCTCTTGGACCGGATTTGAAGTCCACCCCCAGCTTGCTGTCAGTGGCTGAGACACCCCCAAGCCCAGAACAAGACATGGAACCTCGAGCTAGGTATCACATTCTAAAAGACTCTCCTGAACTCTGCAGGCTAGAAAGAAAGATCCCAGGTGTAGTCAGGACATGAGCCAAGAATAACATGAGCTGATCTCTTCTGTTTCCACCAGTAAAGAGTGGAATCCTCCTAGCTCAACTGTTGATGATGTCCTCGTGCTTGGGGTTGATCGGAGAAGGCTGCTCTGCTGCCATGCCCAGCTGACACCAAGGCCCTCACAGGGAACAATAATGACAGAGTGCTTGGAAAACCTGCTTTATCTGCAGAGGGCCAGGAAGAAACCCAGGTGGCTCCACCTCTGGTTTTAGTGGATGGTTTCATAATGACTAAACTTGCTATGTTCTCCTTGGTGCCCTATGTCCCATGAGAAAGAAGATGTGTTACTGTAATCTTTCAGCTGTGCTGAAGGCTGGGTGGGAAGGATGGGACTCTGGGCCCACCCAGAGGATGGGACTTGCACAGGGGAAAACCCAGGAGAGCAAGGATCAGAGCCAGGAGCCAACCAGCTCCTCTGCTACCAGCTGCCAGTTTGTAGATAGCAGTTGCTTATGCCCAGTGAGCAAGGCTTCTCCTCCTGAATCATAGCGAGTGAGGTTTTCTCCTTGTGCTTACCACCTGACCCCAAGTCCCTACCAGATTCATGTCCTGCCCTACTGGAGGCCCATCCAAACTCCAAAGCAGAGGGTGCCATAGTGCACCTTTCAATGCCCAATTTTGAGGCCACTGGGTGACCTTGGGCAATGGCCCCCATCTGGCAGGACAGGCCACATCTGCCCACAAAGCACAGACATGCAGTGAGGATGAGTGAAGCACACGCACATGGCAGAATGGGTCTGCGTGGCTGGCAGGCGGGCACAGGCAGCATGGAGTGGGCGGATGGGTGGGCAGGCAAGGCTCACCATTAGGTGCACGCTGGAACTCGACTTCCTTTTCTGGACACATCACAGCAAAAAGGAAAGAGAAGGGGAAAGAGGAGGTAAGAAGAGAAGCACAGAGACACTGCAGGTTAGTGCACCAGCATGGGCTCTGCACTGGGGGAGAGAAGAAAGGAAGGAGGAGACCGGGAGTTCAGCACCAGAAGGGTTAAAACAGCACGTAGACTGAAAAGCACACACACCCCTCCAGACCCCAGAGGGGAAGAACTCTGTTGTCAGGTTCACAAACACAGATTTAGTATATTAGAGAAGTCTCAGCCTTGCTCAGAGAAAGCTTCTTAGGGAGATTAAGTCACAAGTCTGTGAGGGTAAGTAATATCTGTTGCAAATTTATAGGTTTACGTTCAAAAGGCTAGTTGTACCTATAAGGGTAATTACTTTCCCACACTCCTAGATCTGTCTGAATATGAGTGAGCTGCTACCATCAGGAAAGTAACAAAAGCTACTCTAGACTATCCTTAGCTTTATTTTTTTTTGGGGGGGGCAACAGGGGGTACCAGGAATTGCACCCAGGGGCACTCAACCTCTGAGCCACAACCCCAGCCCTTTCTGTATTTTATTTAGAGACAAGGTCTTGTGGAATGGCTTAGGGCCTTGCTAAGTTGCTGAGGCTTGCTTTGAATCACGATCCTCCTGTCTCAGGCTTCAGAGCCACTGGGATTACAGGTGTGTGCCACAGTGCCAGCCATCCTTAGCTTTAATAACTTTGTGTGTGAGTGTGTGTGGTGCTGGGGATTGAACCCAGAGCCTTGTGCATGCAAGGCAAGCACTCTACCAACTGAGCTATATCCCCAGCCCATTAACATTTTACTTCTGAACCTAGACTTTGCTGCACTCCTAAATTGCTTTTCTGATAAAAATGTTGGGTTTTTGAAAACGATCTCACAGTTAAATTTTGGCCATCCCCTTCTATATCAGTATGGTCATGCTTTTTTAAGATCAAATTTTGACTGCATTTTTACAATTACTGGGAAATAGAAGAACAGGAGTGCTGGTGATTACAAGTGCAGTGATCATAAAGATGCAGAGATGTAAGCCACAGGGAATGCTGAAAGTAGCAATTCCTTAGCCTCAACTAGATGCTAAAAGACTTTATGTTTAGATGTGAAACAAGAGCATCAAAAGGAAGACCTCATGGCACACTGAAAACTCATCTCAGAACACTGTGTCTAAAAGGTGAAGGGGAATTATGTATAATACCATTAACTCACAGGAAAACAGAATCCCCTTGGAATATGTCCATCTGTTGTTTGACTTTTGTGCATTAATTTAGTGACATCCAACAAACACTGAGGGCTGTTCTGGGCACAGTAAATGTGTCTGATAAATTGTTTGTGCCCCTAAGGGGGCCAATGTTTTACTTTGAAAAACATTTTTGGGCATGTATTATAATAAAAAAAGGGGGACTACAAATATTTAAAACAATATCCATAATTTAGAATTTGATCTAAAGAAAAATGAATAATCTAAATGTAATCAGGCTTCTTTTGTACTAGCCCTCTGAATATGCTCAAATGTAAAATGAGATGTTCCTTCCAAAATTATCTGTCAAAAAAAGAACTGCCTTACATTTATATCTACCTACCTACAAACCTACCACCCATCTTTCTTCCTACCTATTTCCCGATATCCTTTACCCAAACAAGAGTGTTAATGCTTTGAAGGAATAGGCTTTTCCCCTGGCGAAAGCAGCGTACAGGTTTCTAATTTGCAATGAATCACAAAAATAATAAGTCTGCTGGGTGCTCATTCACCAGGCCCAGTCCTTGGTTCTGGTGATTTTCAGGGACTCGTTGTTAAAGGCCATTGCAGTTGCCTTTTCCTGGACCTTGCTTTAAAGCAGAAAATCTCTCAGCCTCGTGCTAAATATATTCCCAGGCTTCTCCTACCTGGCTCCCTTCTTCCTCAACTGTCCTGCAGAAGAACCCAAGATAACTCTTTTCCCACTCCAAGACTGATTTCCAGGCTAGTGCACATCTTTCAGCTTCTCTCTCCCATCTTCTCAGGGTTTTGCCCTTCAGCCATTCACACCTGGACTCTTCCACCAGCATACTGCAGCATTATTTATTTATTTATTTTTTAAAGGCCAATTTTTTTTTATTTTTTTAGGATTTTAATATTTATTTTTCAGTTTCTGGTGGACACAACATCTTTGTTTGTATGTGGTGCTGAGGATCGAACCCGGGCCGCACCCATGCCAGGCGAGCACACTACCGCTTGAGCCACGTCCCCAGCCGCACTGCAGCATTATTTAAAGGCCAGATCACTTTTAAAGAACCATGTCTCACATTTATTTAAAAGTTATATGAATATAGTTTTATATGCAGCTGTATATAGACATATGCATATATATGTACATAGACATAAAAATCCCACACTGGAAAAGAGTTCAAGCTTCCTTTTCATATTTAATTTAAATGAATGAATATTCAAATAGCACTTAAGGAAATAACTATACCCTCTTCTTTTTTGCTTTCTTCTCCTTCTTCTTTTTTTTTTTGGTTGGAGGGTACTGGGAGTTGAACCCATGGCTTCTTAAATACTCTAGCACTTAGCTACATCTCCAGTCTTTTTAAAAATTTTGAGGTAAGGTCTTAGTAAATTGCTCAGACTTAGAAAATTCTCTCAGAACTTGAGAACTTCCTGCCTTATTCTCCTAAGTAGCTGAGATTATAGACATATGCCACTGCTCCCTACTCTTCTTTTTTAATTTAAAGCTTAGTTGGCCATTGTGGTCTGGGACTAGCAGAATGCCAAGTTATTCTTAACTTGAGGCTTCTCAGGATCTGAGCCTTTGTGATCCCTTCAGTCCTGTCCTCAGAAGTGCCTCTCACTTTCCACACACCCCGAGTCATTGGCATTCACCTTCAAAGAAACCAAACTCAAGAGCACAAGATAGACCAGCTGCTCCAACCAGAGCTAGTTATTTTTTTTTTTTTGGTTGTCAATGGACCTTTATTTTATTTATATTCGGTGTTGAGAATCAAACCCAGTGCCTCACACATGCCAGGCACAAGCTCTACCATTGAGCCACAACCCCAGTCCCAGAGCTAGTTATTTTGAGCATCTTGCTCAAAGTAAGCTTCTGAACAGTGAGAAGGAAACCTTCCTACAGGCATTTAGCAGAAGAAATGAGGGAGGAAGTTGGGAAGGGAAGATGGGATATAGAAGAATTATCCATGATGCAGAAAGCTCAGGATCTTCTGAGCAACTTACAGGTCTCCCCTGTAAACAGGTCATCAAGTTCCCTTTCAAGAGAGCCCTCAAAGGTCCAACTCTACACACCTAGCTTCATGTTCCCTTTCCTTTTCTCAGAACTCTCATGCAACCACACCATTCATTAATTGATGTACACATGTTCCTGAGTTTAAAAGAACTGCAGTCACATTATCAATAATTTGAAAAACAGAAGAGAGGCAAAACCATCCTAACTTCTAGTGCCCTTCTAGTCTTTTTCCTTTCACAATTTAAAATTATAATTTATAAGCTACACAAAAGTTTATGCCTTGCTTTAAAGATAAAAAGTATTGATTTATAGAGAATTTGGACTTATTGGTTGTAACAGTCATGTACAGTCTAGGTGAAAACTGAAAATACAAAAAAATGTATTTTTAAAAAGTTGCCAAATTTGGGGCTGGGGCTGTAGCTCAGAGGTAGAGTGCTTGCCTAGCACATGTAGGGCACTGGGTTCCATCCTCAGCAGCACCACACAAAAATAAATAAAATAAAAGTATTAAAAAGTTCCCAAATTTGCATCATCCAGTGAAGTTATGATTTATATACATACACTTTGATGGGTTTCCCTTCCCTCTTCCTTTTACTCCCTTTGCCCCCTTTCTTTTTTCTGTAGTGCTTGAGATTGAACCCAGGGCCTTGGCCATACTAGGCAAGTGTTCTATAACTGGGCTCCATCCCCAGCCCTTTTTATTTTGAGACAGAGTCTCTAAGTTGTCCACAAGGACCTCAACCTCATGATCCTCCTTCCTCAGCATCCCAAGCAACTGGGATTATACAGGTTCTTTCAGGTTTTTTTTTTTTCCTTGAACATATATTATACATAACATACAAAATCAGTATCTACAAACATTTTTTAAACAAAATTTAGCCAACAGTCTTTTTTTTTTTTTTTTCTTTAGTGGTACTGGGAATTGAACCCAGGAGGCCCCACCAGTGAGCTATATCCCTAGACCTTTTTATTTTAAGACAGTCTCAATAAGTTGCCCAAATTATCCTTGAACCTGCCATCCTCCTGCCTCAGGATTATAGGTGTGTGCCTCCACACCTGGCTCCTATGTGCCTCTTTATATTCCATCTTTTTTACTTAATGTAAAATATTTCCCCGCTACATTTTTCACTTCATATAAAACATTTCTGCTACTGTATGCTCATGAAAACAAATAACTTTAAAATAGTCTATTAAATGGAAGTCCCATAATTACTTAGTCATTTCCTTATTGGTTTTGAAATTGTCTTCAATCTTTTCACAGTTATAAAAAAAAATGTCATGTTGAACATCTTTCTGCTTTCAACTTTTTCCTATTCTGAATTATTCTGAAAATAAGATAATCAGGAAAGAAATTCCCAGAAGTAGAATTATAAAGTAAAAAAGGTAGAAACACTTGCAGCGCTTTTGACCACAGGCTGTATTAGAAAGGACCACTGTGGTTTTCATTACTGTCACCAACTTAAGAGTCAAAAAATAGCACCTTGTTTCAATTTTCATTTCTTTGATGCTAGTGAAGCTAAAAGTTTTTCCACATTTGTTATCCAGGTCTACTTTCTCAACTTCAGATGGTCTCATCTGAAGTTGAGAAAGTAGATCTTCTTTGATCATCTTTCTGCTGGGGTTTAGCAGAAATTCTTATTTGTTGAAGAAACTATTTAATAAAAAGACATCCCATACTGCTGTGGATATTTTCCCAGCCCATCTATTTTCAACTTTTAATTTTGGTAATTGCCTTCCTAAATATCTATTTGGTCCTGAAACTTTTTTTCTCAAAAGTGCATTGCACTTGTCAGGACCTGGACACACAACAGGCTAGGTTCCCCACACGTTTTCATTTAAAGCAATTTATCTAATGGTTCTGGATGCCCAGGTTCCTCCTCAGTGTTCCTATGGGATCTGACACTACTGAACACTTTCTGTTCTCCTAACTCTTTGTTCTTTCTTTCTTTTCTTTTTTTTTTTGTGGGCGGGGGGAGACAGGGATTGAACTCAGGGGCACTCGACCACTGAGCCACATCCCCAGCCCTATTTTGTATTTTATTAGAGACAGGGTCTCACCTCGCTTTTGCTGAGGCTGGCTTTGAACTCGCGATCCTTCTGTCTCTGCCTCCCAAGCTGCTGGGATTACAGGCATGAGCCACCACACCCGGCTGTTCTTTCCCTTGTTGAAACCCCTTATTCCAGTCCATTATTAACAGATAACCCCCAAATTTTATCAGACTTCTAAACTTTTGTGTGCTTTAGATTCATCTGGGAGAAGGAAAGTATTAAAATTCACTGGTTGATTCTGCCTCCTACTCAAGGCCTCTGGGAATCTGAATTTCAGACTACACTCTGTAATCTGTGTATATGCACATGTGTGTATCTCTGTGTGTATAATATATAATGTGTATATTTTTAGTTGTTGATGTACCTTCATTTCTTATTTATTTATGTGGTGCTGAGGATCAAACCCAGTGTCTCACACAAGCTAGGCAAGCGCTTTGCCACTGAGCCACAACCCAAGCCCCTGGAATCTGTGTATTTTTAATTAGTTCTTTAATCTTACATGGCTGCACTTGATGTTTATTTTGGGGACTCACATTCTAGATAGTTCTGCTAGAAACTTCTCTCTCTCCCTCTGGTACTAGAAACTAAATCCGGGGGCGCAAAACCACTGAGCCACATCCCCAGACCTTTTAAATTTTTATTTTGAGACAGGGTCTTGCTAAATTGCTGAGGCTGGCCTCAAACTTGTAATCCCCATGCCTCAGCCTCTCAAATTGCTGGGATTATAAGTGTGTGCCACCACACCCGGCTAGAAACCTATCTCAAAATGGCTCCTTTATCCATCCTCTCCCCTCCAGCTCAGCAGTCTCTGCTGTATTTTATGTCCTGTTTTTGGCATTCACTCGTCCCTTTAGCCAAGCAGAAGCTACTGAAGTTCCCATAATCATCAGCAGTTTCAAACGGTAACTTCACATGTGCTGTTCCCTCTGCCTGAAATATCCTTCCTCCTCCACAACCTGGCAAACCCCAACTGTTGGTCCTTCAAACTCAGTTCCTGGCCATCTCCTTCAGGAAAATTTCCTGATCTGGCTTGATGCTGTCTCTCTACTCCCCCAGTGCCTGTACTGTGCACATCTTCTTCAGGCACCTTATCAGACTGTACCAGAACTGGTGGCTGCCCCATCTTTCTCCCACTGCAAACATCTAAAAGGGTACATCTACCTTTGGTAGATGTTGCTGCCTTCCAGCTCTTGGAGCACACAGCAGGCATCTAATGAACAGTGGCTGAGGGCTAGGGCTGGGGCTGAGTGGTAGAGTGCTCATCTTGCATGTATGAAGTCCTGGGTTCAATCCTTAGTACCACAAAAATAAAATAAAGGTATTGTGTCCACCTACAACTAAAAAAGATTTTTAAAAATCCTTAAAAAACAACAACAAAAAAACAAAACAAAACAGTGGCTGAGGGGGTGCATTTGTGAGATGCCCCCAAATTCAATGTTGGACTCTTCCTTGGGCTGTATCAGGGCCTTTAAAAAGATATGTCCATCCACATACTCCACTTTTCCTTCAATCCCAACATGGCCAAAATAGAACTCTTCCTCTTTAGATGACCATTTTCTTCACATTTACTCGCATTTCTAGCAGAGGTACCAACATTCCAGGCTGGAAACCTTGATATTATCTGATGATCTTTTAAATCCCTCATATCTAATGTGAGCTTCCACTGACACACCTTTGATCAGAGTTGGTATTCCCAGACTCAAAGGCGCAAGTGGACCACAGATACAGGCAACCTCATTCTGAATAGAATTTTGACTATTATCTCTTGCTATTTCTAATCAACTTTTCTTTTCAATGCTATCGCCAGATTACAATAAATCCTAATTGACACCACTGTGTCTAGCTCTTCCCCTCTTCCATTTATCCATATGCCCTCAGCTAAGTCTTCCTCTGTCTTTCTTTGTACTGGGGATTGAACCCAGGGCCACATGCACACTAAACACATTGCTCTACCATGGAGTTACACCCTCAGCCCTTCAAATATTTCTCAGAATTCTTACCACAGCTTTTCCTACTTGTGGCTTATGATATTTTCTAAGGTCTAATATACAAACTTCCAATTATTCTACTCAATCAGACTGACCCAGCTGTATTTGGCAGGGGCTGGGGGGCTTGCTGTGCTCTCCAACTGAGTTATGCCCCCAGCTCCAGCTGTATATATATATTTTTAATTTTTATTTGTTCTTTTTAGTTATATATGATAATAGAATGTATTTTGACATATTATACATACATGGACTATAACTTCCCATTCTTGTGGTTATACATGATGTGGAGTTACACTGTTTACATATTCATAAATGAACATAGGAAAGTTATGTCTAATTCATTCTACTGTCTCCCAGCTGTATTTCTGAGATCTCTCTACCATACACTCTGTGATCCAGTTAGGTGAAGAACATGCGTGAAAACTCATAAAATTCATATTCTTACTTTTAGGTTACAGAAGCAATACCATCTCATTTTAAATACATTTAAGTGTATAAAGTAAAAGCTGAAAGGTGTTTCTCTCTGCCCTGCTATCACCTCTGACTCCATACCCTAGAGGCAATTGCTGCACTGCTTTCAATCTTCCTGTATCTTAGGCTTCCTACAATAAGCTTTTTCCCATGAGCTTTTTGGCCTGAACCACCCCATGGAGGGTCCAGTAATAGTGTTTAGCTGGATCCAGCTGTGTCCACTTTCCTCTCCCTAAGGCAATGTAAAAGCTACATTGTACCTACTGTATGTGCCTCTCAGAATGTGTGCAGAGCAAGACACCTGATAGTTATGTACTAAATATTTTGTAAAGATGGATTGATTTTAGTTTCTTCCCCAAACAGAAATTTCCAAAATCTTTCTCCAAGTAAACCTACCCACTTTTCCAAACTTGACTCTACCCATCTAGCTTGAGTTCAAAACTGGGGGACTGCCTGGCCATCCCAGTTCCATGTCGGCAGGTATGCAAGGAGCCCAAGCTCCCCTCTTATGAGCAGAAGGACACAGAAAGCAGGCATGCAGAGAATAAAGGAAAAAGGAAGGGATTTGGCAGAAGGGAATGGGGCATGTGTATATATTTCAACTGTGGACAAAAGATCCTGGAAAAAGGCCCAATTTAAATTTTTGCTGGAGATTTGAAGGTTTGGATAATTTTACAGGTTGATATTCTCTGTGGTGTCAGTTGGAAGGCTTTAAGACAGTATGAACTCCTATCCAAAGTTCCAGTCCCAGGACCCTTTCTTCCTCCTACGCATCCTCATGCACCTTGGGCCCTGTGGTTGCCCCGCCTCTCTTCACTTCAGCTGAACAGCTACTCACAACAAGGGCTTCCTGTTGGGACCTGGAGGCACCTGGTCCTTCTTTTCAGCCAGGTCCCATAGAAGCCGAACCTCAAGAAAGTTTAAGATACTTTCACTCAGTGGTATTTAACCAGGGTTCTGGAAGTATTTTGCAGAAAAGGACAAAGACCAAAGAATAGTGTCTTCAGGTTTCTAGTCCTGTACCCTGCCTGAATCACCCAAGCAAACTTTGCTTTCATTTGATTAAAAAGGGTTATGAAAAAAATGGAGGGGGTGGGGGGTGTTTAATTAGATGTCCTAAAATACCTCAGAGTGTCAAGCCCTCAAGATGAAGCACATGTGTGGAAGTCAGGCTTAGGGTCAGCTCTAGGAAACTATAATTTGGACTGCTTCCCCTGAGACTTTCCCACCCAGGTAGATCAGGAGAGACACCTTTCCATTCTTCCCTCCCAGGCCAGTAGAACCTGCTCTTCTCAGCATAGAGGCTTCCAATTTAAAGCAGAATAGCAAGAGTAGATGGTTTTCAGGAAAAGGAGAAGCAAGGTGCCTAGACTTCTCAAGAATAACTACCAGGGGGAGAGGCCAGTCTCTGGTCAGAAGGCTGGAGAGATAGATACCCACCTTGACACCTCCGTCCGACTTCTTGTTCAATAGGCTTTTGGCAGCTGTGAAAACAAAGAGGAAAGTCACATCTTCTGCATCTTACCCTCGTCCCAACCTGAAGTCTGGCAGCTGGATCTGCAAGAGACTGCTATATCTGACAAGAGGGCCAGGAGTCTCCTGAAAGAGACCCTTCCTAGTAGTCCCTCTGCAGGAAGGGCATCTTGAGTGGTGTCAGGGCCTTCGGGATGACACCCCAGGATCTCCTCTGCTGTGGAAGCTGGCTCAGCAGAAACAGACACCCTGTGCTTAGGAGAAATCATGTTCAGTACTGGAGAGCAGCCTGGGAGCACTGGGAGCTCTGCCTTTGAGAGCTTCCACCCAGGCCTAGAAACAAAGTGCCAGGGTGAAAGGGTGAGGGCTCCATTCTTAGATGCCACGGAGGTTCTCCAGATAGCCACACTGGAAGGATGCAAGACATCTCCGGACTGTTCTCAAGAAACAGAGTGTCACAGTTCACAAAGGAGACCAGATGTGAGGACAGACAGACACAGACACAGAAACCAGGACCACCTACAGGAGGATTTTGCCAGGGGGTTGAAGCCTTCACTGGGCAGGACCTCACCAGGTTTACTGGGTCCTAGCTGCCATCTTTTTCCCAGACTCTCTGGACTCATGAGCAGGAAGGGCTAAGCAGAATAACGAGTTATCAGATTCTAGCCAGGCGTGGCATAATGCTCAAGGCTGACCAGCTTCACACCAGAAGGCTGGTGACGGGCTGAAAATGGAATCAGCCCACTGTCTGATCCACCTGGACTACCTGGGTTTAAATCTTGGTTCCAGCTGCTAGCTCTGTGACCTTGTGTGAGTAAGCCTCTCTCAGCCACAATTTCTTTAAAAATGGGATAAATAAAACAGGCCTAAGTCACGAGGCACTGATGGGGGTCCAAAAGGATCATGCCTGAAAAGCATTTAGCAGAATGTCTTGCACATGATTTAAGTACCCTACTAACCATTGTTATCACTATTGCTGCTCCCCTTCTGCCCTTTAGGTGGCCATTCCTACCTAAGCTGTGTCCCATATTTCTCCAGTGAGAACAAGGGTCCTTCCATCGCAAGATTCTGGCTCCAAAAGAAGGGCATTTGGTCTGATCTCCAATCATGCTGCATTTGAAATTTTTTTTTTTTGAATATATTTACTAGTCAGGGCTTTGTTTACATTAGCCAGTTCTCAATTCTGGTTGCCCACTAGAATTACTCAGGGAGTTTTAAAAAATGCTCATGCCTAGTCCATCCACTAGGGATTCTAATTCTGTTTATCTGGGGTGGGGTCCTGCCACCAGGATTCTTTAGGAGCTCCCAGATAATTGGTTGTTCTGTACAGGTAAGGTTGACAGCCTTTGACATACCTGTTCTTAAGCATCACCACGTTATCTGTCATCCTCATTAGAGAGATGAGAAAACTAAGGCTGGGAGAACTGATGTGACTTGCTCAGAGTATAGCAAGGCTAGAATTCAAACCCAGGGATGGCTGACTCTGAGGTTTTTGCACTCCACAGCCTTTCAGACCTGGAGGCCTGCAAACACCAGACTTCATAATTTTGAGGGGCAAGGCTTCCTCTGTGGGCTCTTAAACAGTAGTGCAGAAGCCTAGTTCCAGCACTGGGCAGCTCTGCAGGTCAGGCCTTTGGGCTGCCTGGAGGGAAGGCTCCTATTTCCCAGCTCCACATCCCCAGGCTATTGCCTCCTGAGAGTTGGCAAGCGCCCAGCATGCATGGCTGGTTAGGGGGCTCTGTAACAACAATGCGCTCGCAGATGCCAAGTTAGGTGGTCCTTCTGGCATGCCCATCTCAGCCCGCAAGCATGGAACTCGCCTCCCTGGTGCGTGGGCCTGGCATGCTGGCCCTCCTGGTGGGGTGGCAGGGAGCCGAGGCAGGCGGTCAGGGAGGACTCATGCCACGTACCTTGCCCGGCCAGGCTGGCGGCGCTCGCGGCAGGCGAGGCGGGGGCGGAGCTCTGCCTGCCAACTGAGGGGATACAATCTCTCAGTGCACAGAGCTTCCGCAAAGCCACGGGGGCCAGTCAGCAGCGAGCATGCCCCAGCATGAGGCACGGGCACCACTGGCTGCCCACACACAGCAGGGCCCAGGTGGCATGGCCAAGCCAGCCGAGCTGGGGGAGCGGAGGCGCCAGGGGCAGGCCGATGAGGCAGGTGCAGCCAGTCCTGCGGCAGTCCAGGAGCCTGAGAGGACCAGGCTGGGACAAGGTGAAGGGAACACCATATAGCTACTTTGTGGAAATGTACTTAGTGCTTGTTCCATGACCAACTCAGGTGAGGGTTCATAGGTAAAAGCCTGACTTGGTGAGAGGAAGGTGCCCTTTCTGAGGTGATCCAGCCCTTGCTTAAGGCTGTGAGGATACCAAGCTTCACCTTCAGACCTTCCCTCCCTAGGACATAAATGAGCTCTGTAGCTAAGAGCCTGGAGCATAGAGCAGCCCTTTCCCCTCAACACACTCGGAATGATAGAAAGACTGGCACTTACATGGCCTCTGGACAGCTTAAGTTTACAGATGGGCCCAGCTCTATGACCCCTAACTTCTCAGAGACAAAGGGCTCTCCCTCTTAAGGGAAGTAGCCAAGAGAAGCAGCTTTACTCAGCCTGTGCTTCACAGTGTCTTGAGGTAAAGATGCCTAAGAAATAAGTCCCCAGAAAGACAACAAAGGCCTCTGAAGAAATATATTCTGGAAGTTATGATTTCACCATTCACCAGGCTATTAAAGTCCAGGGCTAAGATGTGGCCCCACTATTTGGGGTCTACTTGGGAAATAGCCTAGTTTGTGCCTAAGGAATCACAGGTGCCTTTCCTCCTTGACACACCTATAGACAGCTCTTTCTGCAGAAATTTCCAGAGACAGAAGAGGCCATCCTAGAAGCCTAAAGAACTTTTTTTTTTTGCATCTTCTTTGATCCAGGGCAGTGAGCTCAAAGGCCAGATGAGGTCTGGGCAACAAGAATGGAAGGCTCTTTAGGGATGAACTAAAGTACTACGTCCTAACAGAGAGACTGACTTCTTGAAACCAGGACACCAATTTCCTGAAATGCTGGTTGTGGGTGGGTGATGTGGAGACCAAAGGCCACAGGACAGGAAATGCTACTGATGGGCCAGGCTAAAAGAGAAGCAGTAGCCTGTCTTCGCATTTAACTCAAGAGAAGAGAAGACAGGTAGACATCAAGGGTCAGCATAAAAATGCCCCTGAGCATCCTCTAGAAAAGCTCTTAACCCCAGAAAGTAGAAGCCGCAAGCAGTTAGAGGAAAGAAGCACAGTGTGGGGCCACAACTCCATCTTTGTGGCAGATGGACAACCCATTGCTCCCAGTGCCCTGTATAAGTGGTAAAAGCCCAGGATGGGGCATGACTGGGGCTCACTATCCATCCCTGATATCCCAGAGCCTGTGACTCTTGGGCTGGAACTGGTGAAGCCCTAGGCTCTCTTACCTGCAGCCTCCTCCAAGCTAAAGCCCATGGGTTACCTGGAACCAGCACAGCGGAACCCATCAGGACTCCAGCTCAAGGAAGCAACCCCTGCCCAAAGTGGCTGCCCACCCTGACTGTGGTTGGTGCTCCCACACAAGCCTCTCTCCATGGTGGTGCAGGAGGAAAGCAAGGGAGGGAGTCTTGTTAGGAGGATGAGAAGGGCTCTTGAACCAAACAGCGAGGCTGGGGTTAGAGGGAAGGAAGACCAGAGCTACAGCAAGCTGTGGACAGACTTCTTTGTCTTCATTTAAGCCTTGATATTAATCTTTTTCTCAAAGAAAACCCACCGTGCTCCCAACTGAGGGCAAACAATACTGGGGGTAGGGTTGAAAGCAGTGGGCAAAGGGGAGTGGAGTGTCTTGCATCTTAGAAATAATGTCAACTGCGACTTACAAATTACTGATCCCAACTCTCTTGATTCCTTATGTAAATCTAAGTTCCTTTCCTTCCACTGGCTGGTCTCTAGTTCTTCATTTTTACAGCTAGTATCAGAGAAAATATTTTAAGCCTGAGTCACCTTAAAAGGTCTAAACATCTGGAATAATTTCTATTAGTCATCTCTACTTGGACACAAGGAAGAAAGAGATCACCCTAGTGATCAGTTGGTGGCAATTGAGAACATTCATAATATTTCAACTTGATTTTGTTTTTCCCTTCCAGTGCATCCTTCAATACCCTAGATTGGCTATAACCCTAAAGTGCTGAGAATCTTCAGGGAATTCAATAAAAATGTATAGGGATAAAGTACATAGGATTCTGGACAGGCTACTCCTTGGGAGGTTCTAAGGAACAAATTCATAAATTTGAGCCCAAGTGAAGGTTCCTCCCCTCACACCAAGAATTTCAGTAAGAGGACTCAGCAGCAGAACCCTCAGAACAGGATACCTGTTAATCCTGCTCAAGGAATCACCTGAGACAGCCACACTGCCTAGGCTGGCTGTGCTCTATGCCTGACCCACTCACCTCGGCAGAATTAAAGTGTTCAGCTGGGAAACATACCTGAGAAGTTCCTGGAGACAAGCATGGTCGTGAGGATGGCACCCTAGGAAAGGAGGAGAGTCCTATGAGTTCAACCAGACTCTATAAAAGGATAGCCTGGCCTCAGGCAAAGCAGCTCATGGCTAGAGCCTGGAGTCACAGGATTCTGGCATCCCCAACATAGCTTAGCTACAACCTGCATAGCTTAGCTTCAACTAGGAGCAGAGCTGCCTTGTCTAAGGGGGCAAGACCTGCATTGTTAACAGGCTTGATTTCAAGAGGCCAGTGGCACAGAAACCAAGACTTACCTTCAGTTTTCTCCGGGCATTGAATTTGCGCAAACACTCCACAGTCTCTTGGCGGTGCATCATGGAGGCTACCGTGGATCGTTGCTAGAAATCAAACAGAAAGGCCTATGAGTCCCCCATTCCAGACCCTTTCTCTGCCCTTCACTTTAGTCCTGGCACCAATGGCTATGCCAGGACAGAGCTGTGTACTCAGCCACCCCACATTCGCTCTGAAGATCAAATGAAGTCACAGACATGAAAACACAAAATAAAGGCATAAGCCCAAACTCAAGGTTATGTAAGGACAATCTAAACATGAAAGCACACTGATAACGGATGCTATATGAGTGTGCAGAGAGAACATTATAATCTTCCTTGGGCAAAGGAAGCTGCAAATGGGAAAGATTATCCTATGTGTGGTGAGCCTGGCAGTTATTCCTTCAGCAACTGCTTACTGAGCACCTGCTGTGGTCCAGGTTCTGAGCAGTGACAGCACAGGGAGGTCCCTGCTTTCTATAACATTCATTCCTTCAAAGAGCCCCTCTCAACATACCCCACAAGGTCCTGAATGAACCTGGGGTCTCAGAAACTAAGGATGTATACCTTGAAGGATCAATTCTTTTCATCATTTTGGATGAAAACTTTGATATATTTATTAGTTACTTCCTTGTCTCCTTAAACAGAATCCAGACATGGCCTCCGCTTCCTTGGGATCATTGATAGAAGAACCAATTATTTTGAAATGTCATAATATAGTGATGTCCTCAGGGGCTATAGAGATATATAGGACTATGAAACGTAGAGCCCACAAAAATGATCCTCAGGACATAGTATTTCCCTGTTTTGTTTTGTTTTTGGTACCAGGGATTGAACCCAGATGCACTTAACCCCTGAGTCACATCCCTAACCCTTTTTGAGACAGGAGCTCCCTAAGTTGTTTAGGGTCTTGCTAAGTTGCTAATGGATGGCTTTGATTTTGCACTCCTCTTGCCTCCTGAGTTTCTATTATAGGCACACACCACCAAGCGGGCTACTTCCCCAATTTTTGAATTTCCATTTTAAGTTGCTCAGCATTACTTTTGCTGTTGCTGTCTTGCCAAACTATTAGAAAAATAAATGCTAGGACCTGCAGCTTGGTGCCCATAACCACATAATCCTTGCCCTCACCCCTGGCCAACTCTTTCCTGCGCCTGAAACAACTCTCCCCACCTCTCCACCTCCCCAAGTCTCTCATTCCACCTCATCTTCCTCAGCATAAACTTCTCCACAAAGAGAAATGAGGTCACCATGCACATACTGCTTCTGTTTCAGCCCCCACCCACCAGCTGATTTCTACCCACCCACAACCCAACCTAAGTCTCAGAACATCATTCTTCACACCAGGGTGGACCTCTTGAGCAGAGCTCAGAAGTCCCTCTTTAAACCTTTGCTTCCTAAATTAGATATATTGTCGACTCATTCCTCTGGACTAGATTCTTCTTGGTAATCTACACATTATATTCAATCTTCTCCTTAAACAAAGTCCTTAAAACATGGATGGAACTGAAGGACATTATATTAAGTGAAATAATCCAGACCCAGACAGGGACCACATGCTCTCTCTCACATGTTGAAGTTAAAAGAAAAAAAAAAAAAAGTTTGGGTCTGAGTGTGGAACAGTGAAACTGGAGTTCCGGGGTGATTAAAGGGAAGCTGGATTTGAAGAGCATATGCTGTATGCACGTATTAAATTATCACAATGAACCCTACTAAAACGTATAATTAATAAATACTCTTTAGTCAAAAAACAAATAAAAAAAAAAAAAGAAAGAAACCCAAACCTCTCTGACATATCTTCCTCCTCTAAGGAGTATCATTTCTTTCCCCCTTCATGCCTCACTTCCTATGCACCTCCTCAATCCTACTTCCTCTTCACGCCCCAAAACAGGTTTCTATCTCACTCTACTGTCTTTGTGAAATGATGAAAGAATAGCCTTTCCATGGTCAGAGCCCATGCATTCTCTTTGATCTGTGTCAGGGACTCTCTTGCAATACTACCAGTGCTCCCTTACTGAGACTCCTTCTTTTTTTAGCTTATACATCTTCTGCTTCTGATTCTTTTCTGACTACAGAAATTCTCATTCTCAGTCCCTTTTGCTGACTCCTCTAATTCTCCTTGTTCTTAAATGCTGATGTTTAGTGTCCATCTCTTCTTTTACTGAAGAATACAAACTCAAGAATTTGATCAGCATAGAAACAATCCCATCTTCTACAGCCTCAACATCACCTATATACAAAAGACTAAGACTCTTTTCTTTCTTTCTTTTTTTTAGTGCTAGGGATCAAACCTAGGGCCTTACACATGCTAGGTGAGTGCTCTACCACTGAACTGCATCCCCAGACCATACAGGTATATTTTTTAACTGTCCACAGGGTATCTCAGCTAAAGTCTCTTGACACCACACTTAATGTGTACAAAACTAAATCATCATCTTTTCTCACAAACTGGCTTTTCCTCTGAGTTTCTTCCGTATGGATGAATGATACAATTCTCTGCTCAATGGCAAAACATGGCAGTTCCCACAGATCCCTCTCTCCTTCATTCCCCAATTCAATTGGGCACTAAATCTTTTAGATTCTGTGTCCCAAATATCTCCTGAATTTTTCCACTCCTCACACTACCCACTCCCCCATCTCTATCCTCAGAGGAGACCTCATCTGTTGCTTAGATAGTTATGACAGCTTCCTAAGCTCCCCTGACTCCAGCCTCTTTCTTCATTAATTCCATTTTCTACAGAGCTTCCAAAATGATCTTTCTTAAATGTAAATTTCACACTCTCTTTAAAATCCTTAAATGGATCCCTATGCATTCGGAATAAAACCCTAACTCCTTAGGCCGAAACTGGGATGTCAGGGAATCTTTAGGGCCTCTTTGTCTTGGATTCCTATAGTCATGGCCTCATTCACAACCAAACTACTTAACATTCCTTGAACTTGATTTCCCATGGCCTCTTACTCTGGCTCCTGCTAACCTCTGTCTACAGGGTAATATCTTGGGGAACTCTTAGTTATCTGCCAAGAGCCAGAACAGAGGTCACCTCCTCCATGCAGCCTTTGATGACCCCACTGCCCACCAGGGACAGCAAGAACTCCTGCACTCCTTTAGATTCTTTTGCATACTTCACACTGTAGTATGGTTGCCTGTTTGACTGCCTGTCTCTCCAGATCTTTGGAGCAGGAAAAATGCCTCATTCACCTTTGTATCCTCTAGCATCTGCACCAAAGAGGCATTCAGTAAACACATGAACGAAGGGACAAATAAACAAATGCATAATGGCTGTCAAGATACCAACTATGCCAGAAAACAAAGTATGTCAACCCACATCAACAGCCTAGGGGAGCCTCCCAGCTCAGGAGCTTCAGGACTGAACTTCATGATGCTCTTTTTAATAGCTCAGAGACCTCTTTGGTTTATTCATTGGGTCTTGGTCACAGTTGTTAAGAGTTGTATGAGTGGTGAGACCTGAGTATGCCCTGGACTTGGGGATTCACTTTCTGCCAGCTGCTTTCTATCATCAACTACCTAGAGTCTGCAAGAGTCAACCTAAGCCCTCATTTAAGACTAGAACTGGGTTGGGATATAGCTCAGTTGGTAGAGTGCTTGCCTTGTATGGACAAGGCCCTGGGTTCAATCCCCAGCACTGCCAAAAAAAATAAAAATAAAAAAAGAGAGCCATTAATACAGCCTCACAACCAAGGGAGAGACGAATAAAGGCCTGTTAGCCCCTTCTGCCTCCTAGAGATCCCCCGGTGATATTTATTAACCTTGGGCCCCACTCAGTCTCCTGCCCTGCCTACTGGGTCCTCACTCAGGAACCAGAATGATTCTCTGCTGATAAAAAGGAACATAAACATAAGCGGTCACCACTGATCTCCAAGTCCACAGCTGAAAACACTTACACAGACCCATGGGTGCTTCAGAGCCTGGTCAGCCGTGATGCGTTTTGCTGGGTTTATGGTCAGCATCTGGTTGATCAAGTTCTTGGCTTCAGGAGTCACTGTGTCCCATTCTGGTGATGGGAACTAAGGAGCAGGAACAGGGGGAGGTAGGATATGAAATTTGTAAGCCTCACACCCTAAAACGAAGGCTATATCTTCATCCCAACTCCTATAATTGGGATATTCTATGGTACCCAAAGTTGCCTCAGAGAGAGTTGGAGAAGCCCTGGAAATATCCTAGAACCTGTGTCAACTTAAAAGACTAGGAAAGGAAAATAGAACAATGATGGTTAGAATGCCAGAATATCAGATCACAGTAGGAAGCAGACTCCAACAAACATTCTCTGGTTCAACTCCATCTCTCTACTTGGGGGAAGAGGCTCAATGATGTGCCTAAGGTACCAATGCAGTGGAAAGAGCCTCTAGAATTCTCGTCCCTGTGTGATGCAGCTTCTCTGTTCTTTGCAAAAAAAAAAAAAGATCAAAGGGCTTCAGTGGGTTCCTTAATTTTATAGCTACCAAAAAGGATGTTAAAAAAAAAAAAAGTTGCTCCCTGGACGTAGGGTGGCAAGAACTGAGTCCTGTTTGCCCATCCCTGGATCTTCACAGTCCCATGACATCCCCTATGTCATGTGACACACTAAACAAGCCCCCTCCCTTGGACAGAGCCCAAGGGGCAGGACATGTGCCCTGCTTGATGTTCTTGTTTGATTCTTAGAAAAACAGTCCTTACATCGTACGCTCCAGCCTTGATCTGCTGATACAGCTTGTGCTGATCCTCATCCCAGAAGGGAGGGTAGCCCACCAGGAGGATATACAGGATGACCCCTATGAGATAGAACACACAGGTCACTGGGTTCAGTCACCTTTACCCTGAGGAACTATGAAAGGCCATGCAGGGCTCAGAGCCACACAGAATGACAAGGGCCAGACCAGAGTTAGAGGTGGATGCCAGCCGATAACGCTGTGTCTCTCACGTCAGAGATTTCTTTAAGCACAACCTATCCTCTAAGGCGGGGACAATTCCCTCTCTAAGAAGGATGCAACATAATACAGGAAGTTACTTGGGGAGGAGGGTGTGATGGGAACAGCCCTCCCAAGGGGATGAGAGCAAACACCATGATTTCACATACACCAGGCACTTGTGGGACCCGCAAGGAATAGCGATGCTTCTTTCTCGCCATCACTGGAAGCCGAGGGCCCTTAACACGGAAAAGCTGAGGGCGTGGAATGGGCTTACCGCAGGCCCAGATATCCACAGGTTTTCCATAGGGATCTTTCCTCAAGACCTCAGGGGACAAGTAACCTGGGGTGCCAGCAAAACCTGCAGCAGAAGAGAGAGCAGAGGTACACTGAACCCATTTTCTCTCTCAATAAATCCATATGAGCAATTTCTTCCAAAGCCCTTTTCATCCTGCTGCTTTTGCTACATAAGCTTTCAGCACACAGGCTGCGAGAGATTAGAGGCTGGGCTTCTCATAGTGCTTGGAATCTAAATCAGAGGGCAAGTCCATGTGCCTACCAGGAACTCCAATGCCTCCCCAGAGGCAGCAAGAACGCAGTGCTGACAACAGCTAGACTTACTGAGTCATGAAGGGCCAGGAGGGATTTCTGCACCCTCCCACCCTTCTCCACTCTCCAAGGAGGCCAGGACCATTAAAGGTCTGGTTTCTAGTTCTGAAAGAGGAAGGCAAATCAGAAAGAGGAGGAAGGGTGGGGACTGCATAACTGAGAAGACAGTGTCACCCTTACCAAACCAAGCCTGCTGCTCTCCTTGCACTTCGATGGCGAGGCCAAAATCAGCCAGCTTGACGGCAGCACCCTTGCATTTACTTGCCAGCAGCAAGTTCTCAGGCTACAGAAGGAACAGCGAGAACCTTGTGAGGCACCCCCCCCCCCAGCCCAAAGGGAGCCTTCTTTGGGTCCACACAGTACCACTATCTAGCACCAGGTGGCGCCAACATGTCACAAGCAAGGGGCAAAGGAGGGGAGCCTGGTAATACCTTCAGGTCCCGATGGACAATGTCATGCTGGTGGATGTGGTTAACACTCTCCAGAATCTGATGTATACAGTGGCTGAAAAAGCAGGAGAAAAAAATGTCACTACAGGGTTAAACCATCTCATCCAAGACCACATGCCATGGACTAAAAGCATGTAACAACAGGTCACAGGTTCATAGAGAATCACTGAATGATGAGTTAGTTCAACCCATTTTGTTTTCATTTCATTTCTTTAATGTTTTGTTTTATCTTTAATTGACAAATAATATGCATCTATTTGTGGGGGACATGTGTTGCTTTTATACATGTTTACAACGTGGGATGAGTATATTATGCTAATTAACATTTCCATTACCTCAAATATTTACCATTGCTTAGTGGAGAGAACATATAAAATCCTCTCTTAGCTACTTTGAAACATATATTATTAGCAACTACAGTCACCACGATGTGCAACAGATCAGAACCTACTCCTATCTAAAGCTCTGTATCTGCTGACCAATATCTTTCCTTTACCCAACCACCTCCACTCCAATTCTTGGTAATCACCACTCTACTTTTACTTCTGAGATCATTCTTTTTTAGATTCCACATATAAATAATGTCATGTAGTATTTGTCTTTCTGTGCCTGGCTTATTTCATGCCCTCCATGTTGTTGTAAATGACAAAATTTCATATATATTTTTTAAGACTGAATAGTATTCTGCTATTCTCTCTCTCTCTCTCTCACACACACACACACAAACACACACACACACACACACACTTTTAGTATCCATTCACTTGTTGGCACACACTTAGGTTGTCTCCACATCTTAGTTATTGTGAATAATGCTGCTGTGAACATGGGAGGGCAGACATCTCTCCAAGATACTAATTTCAATTCCTTTGGGTATTTACCCAGTAGTGGGATTGCTGGATCATATGGTAATTCTATTTTTAGTTTTCTGAGGAACATCTATACTGTTTTCCAAAAAAAGCCTGTACTAATTTGCAATACCAACAGGGTTCCCTTTCCTCCACATCCTCAACAACACTTATTTTACAGAAAAGGAAACTGAAATTCAGGTAGATTAAGTGGTTTGCCCAGGGTCACTCACTAAATGGGAGGAGAGAGACTAGAATAGAGATTCACCATGGATTCTTCTGTCTATAAAGGCCTAACATAACCAACATGTTTTTAAGAGATCAGGAGACATCCCAGGCTCCTGAGAAAGGTGAGACCATCCAACCCCTACCTTTTTTCTACTTCCCTATATAGTAACTTTATTCTTAGAGAAGAAACTTGTGCTGGCAACTTAAGCAGGAAGAGTGCAACTGAGTTCCCTAAGTTGTTTTGGGATGACTGTACTCCTTCATTTATTTAAACATTCACTAAGTGCTTCCAAGGCCTTCTGCTTTGTACTACACAGGACATAACAATGAACAAGACCCGTAGCTTCCCTGAAGCTGATCATCTGGTAGAGGAGCTAAAACAAACACAGATTTCTTTGAGAAACAATATATTTGAGCAGATTTTTAAATGGGGCACCAAGGAGTATTTCTGAGGAATGTGCATAGAAAAGACAAACTAAGATCCAGAATTACATGCAGCTGCTGATTTTTGTGTCTGCATGCGTGTGGTTCTGCGGATTGAACTCAGGGCCTGTGCTTGCTAGAAGTGCTTGACCATTGAGATATATCCCCAGATCTTTTAAAATTTATTTTGAGAAGGGTCCAAGTTTCCCAGGCTGGCTCTGAACTTGTGACCCTCCGGCTTTGGCCTCCTGAGTAGTTGGGATTACAGGTATACAACACCATAACCAGCTTAAGCTGCTGATTCTTAAAGCAGGCTGTCCACTTTACAACCCTCCTGCCAGCCTTGTGGTCAAACTTCTGGCAGGAAACATGAGCAGACTACAGCAATGGTTTTCTTTTATTTTTTTTTTTGTACCAAGAATTGAATCCAGGGGTGCTTACCCACTGAGACACATCCCCAGCATTTTTTAGTTTTTATTTTGAGACAGGGTCTCTTTAAGTTGCCTAAGGCCTTGCTAAATTGCTGAGGCTGGCTTTGAACTCACGTTTCTCCTGCTTCAGCCTCCAGAGCTGCTGGGATTGCAGGGTGTGTATTATCACACCCAGCTAGCAGTGGTTTTTAAATGGGGATGAGTTTATCTGGAGACATTTCTGGTTGTCACAACCTAGGGAGGGGGAAGGCTGTTATTGACATCTACTAGCATGGGATGCTTCTAAGTGTTTACCATGCACAGGAGAGGCTCTCACAACAAAAAATTACCCAGCCTAAAAGGTCAGTGGTGCTGAGGAAAAACCCAGCTTAGAGAACAGATGCCCAGTCATCATGCACCACCAGGTGTACTGGGCAGGTCTGCAGAATGTCCAGGTGTGCTAAGCTAGGTAGCTGAACTTCTGATTCCTTTCTCTAAAATCTGAGGTGCTGGGGGTCCTGCAAGAGCCAAGGGGTCTTACCAGGCCCCTAGAAGCTAAGGCTGGGGCTGCCCTAGCACAGCCCAAGAGTGGGCTAAAGAAACTTTAAGACTGAACTATAGAGGCAAGTCTCCACAGAAATGTATTATTAGAACAGAGTCGGGCTAGCAGGGAGAGCCTTCTGGCCAAAAATGGCAAAAGTGCGAAGTGTCCCAGCAGAGCCAGGCCAAGCCCACTGGTGCAGCCCCCCCTCCTCGCAGTTCCCTGAGCTATCACGCCTCCTCCCGCCCACAGCCTGGTCCTCCCCTGCTGGCACTGGAATTCATCTCCCCACTTGAGAATTTTTCCTGAGGTTGAAGCATCTGAAGTTGATCAGCAAACATTGGCCGCTGGAGGTTGAGAAATCTGTGAGGAAGCTGCACTCCCCCACTTTCCAGAAGCAGCCCGAGCTGCCACATAAGCTAGATAAGCTGCAGGCAGGATGATCAAAACCAGGTTGTAAGGACATCACCCTCAGAGAGAAGCGGGGCTGGGGGAAGAGCCGAGGCGGGAAAGGCAGGCCAAACAAGTGCCTGAGAGCTGTGTGGGGGTGGAATTCTGCTGTGTCACATGTAGGAGCCATCAGGGCTTCTGTGGAAGGCTGGAGGCTGAGGCATGGGACTGTGGAACAGCACTCCAGCTAAAAGAATCCCATGTTGAACCTGGTCTTGGCAGTCAAGGGACAAAGTGACAAGGGCTAAAAGCTCCTGAGATGGCTCCCATAGTTCATACACCTTTGGGGAAAACCATATCTTTTATGTTTCTAATCACCCCAGGATTTCCACTTAGTGGCTTGTACATAGTAGGATTTGTCAAAAGAAAGAAGAGGGATTGAGAGGGCCCTCATGTGTACTTACCAGTGTGAGGTAATACAAAGAAAAGGTATTTCTGGGGTGATGGGGTAAAGGAGACTCAAGAGGCTTTGCCAAAATTGATCTGGGGTGCTGAATTCTGAACTTCTGATATTGCCCCCAGAATGCAGCCCTCGTCCAGCTCTGTAGAATCACTGTCCAGATAAGAGTTCCTCTGATCTTCCCCAAAGGCTTTTCAATTAGGCACAATGCCAGCCCCCTAAGGTGGACAAGACTTATTTCAATCCTAAACTCCAGAGCTGCACTGGAACAATTGGGCCTTCATCTCACCTGGCATCTGCTTCACTGTAGTATTCTCTAGCCACAATGTCTTCAAACAGCTCCCCGCCAGTAACCCTGCAGCCAACAGAAGAAGAAGAGGTCAGAGGAGGTGGAGTCCCTTGGCCAACCCCGGTGTCTAAGAGGTAACAGAGTTACACAGTAAAACAGCTCTTACAGAAACCTTAACTCCACATACACTTTGAGAGCCCAGAACATACTCAATCCTTCAATGACATGGGGCTCCTCCTTAGGGTATCCTGGGCTCCCCCTTCTTCAGGATATTTCTGTTTCCATAACCTGCAGATCAGCTAACATTAAAGGCAGCTAATGAAGATACAGGGATCTAAGAGAAAATATTCAACCTACTCCCCAAAGACATGCCTTTGTTTGAGACCAATATGAACATATGCCATCCAAGGAAGGACAGACCTACCACTGAAGTTGAGAATGAGACCAAGGACACAGAAACCTAACTCTATAGCACTGGAAAGGAGTTTCCAGAAGGTAAAGAGCCACTTTTAAGATATTAAAACACAACCAAAGTGGAAGAGAGACCAAGAGGAGCCCAGTTCATGACTAATAAAAGCTACCCTCAAATTCCCAGAATTTTAAGTTCATGCAAAGAGCAGTACTTTATTTCTATACTAAGGACCAAGAAACAAGAAACAAGCATCTGCACAAGATACACTGTGAAACAGAAGTGTGAGAGCAACATTGAGGCTGGCGCTCTACAGAGATCTGGGGAGATCACGAGCAATGAGACCCCCAGGGGGCTTTGGGTACCAACCCGGCTCCATGCCCGGAGAAAGTACACAATCAAGTCCTTTCTCTCAGGCAAAGGAGAGGGACCGTTGGCAGAGGCTGAAGACCAAGTTAAGCCTTTTCCCCAGCCTTCATCTTGAGCCAGCTGGAGGGAAAGGCCCCACACCCTCAAAAGGAGCACTTACAGGTCAAACACGAGGTAGTGAAACCCTTCTTCAGAAATACTGTCATGGAGGCGCACTGCAAGAGAGGAGATGGGGACAGAGATTAACAGAGAGAAAACTCGGAAATCCTATTCTCCTCCTCTTCAGCAACCCCACCCAGTACCATTCTGTCAGCCTCACCAGGCTCCCTCCTGAAGGCACTGCAGCGAGAAGTGGCAACATGCTCAACACCCACAAAGCCAAGGTTATGTAGCCACAGAGCAAGAGACCAGTGCTCTGGTTGCCGCCTCCAACTGGGGCAAGAAATAGAAGCTTCGAGGCCAAGATGTAAATCAAGACCGAGAAAAGCAGAAACCTTCCCAGAGGGGCTAGTCCCAGAGAAGGTGGTCCCTAAACATAGTGCATGGTGGTGTAACAGACTGAGAAACCCCTAGCAACACTGACAGCAGGGGCATGGAAAATGGGAAAGACCAGGAGAACTTTCAGAGGGGCAAATGAGAACAGCAGAGTGAAGGGTAATGGAAGAAGATGGAAAGGCAGAGCCCAGCAGGAAGGCATGTGAAGCAGGATAACGAATGGCAGGCCCAGGAGGCTAAGCCACATTCAGGCTATGACTATGACGACCTGTTTATCAAGTGTTTAACATACTTATGTGCCAGGCCTCCTGTAGTGAAGTTCTTAGCACACATTACTGATTCTATGAGCATTTAGTGAGCACTACTGTATGCCAGCCCCTGGGCTAGCTGGTGGCATTTATGAGGGAGAGACACAGTGCCTGCCTTCAAGGAGTTGATTACACTGCCCTGAGATGAATGTTATTCCCATTTTATAGAACAGGGCAGTGGAGGCTAGGAGACATAAAGCCTCTTGCTAAAGGCCAAAGAATTACTAAGTGGTGGGTCAAGATGTGAACCCAGGCTTCTCTGACTCCAAAGGCTGGTTCACACTACTGCTTACTAAAGAAACAGGGCATCCCACATACCAGGTTGTGAGACTGCTCACAAACATACCTACGACAGCATCATAAATGGGTCCAGGAGGGCAGACATGGAGAAGACTAGGGCAAGTTACCAACTGTAAGAAAAGGCTGGCAAGCATAATCTCTTCCCAATCCTTGCTTCCAAATCTCTTGGGCAAAAGACCAATCTAATGTCTTCTGAGGTCTCTTCATCAAGCTTCTGCCCACAAAGCCACCTCTGGGTTAAATGCCAACCCCTGAGCATCGTTCTAATGTAAACACGACTTGCTTTGGCTGCCTGTCCTGATATTCCTGTCCCTTCCCTCACCTGAACTCTCTTGATGAGAAACCTCTGTTCCAAAGGGCTCTCTCTGTTTGACCCTTGCTCCAGTCCTCAGCAGTTAAAGAAGCTCTTCAGGAATGGCCTGACACCAAACCAACTAGTGAAGTGTTCAGATGTAAAGAAATCACGCTATCTCTTCCTTGGCAGGCCCAGACTGCTTCCATTTCCAGTGCCAGAGCATCTTCTAAGGGCTGAGGAACTTCGCTAAGTCCCCTAAACGCCAAAGAAGGCTCAGCCAGAATGCAAAATACAGCACCCAGCCGCCCTGAGGCACTGAACCATCACTACAGTCCCCTTGTTTTTCTTACTTGACAAATGCAGACACAGAGGCCTGCCTGGGCCTGATCCAAGGCCGAACAACCATCTACACATTGCATGGCCTACACTATTTGATCTGATCTGGTTATTCAACCCTGCATACTTCCCTACATCTGCCGATGACAGAAGAGGGCTTTTAGGACACAAGGAGGGAGCTACAGCAAGACCCCTGCATCCATCTTACCCACCTAACCGAGCATGCTTAATCAAACTCTCCAAAGCCTCCTCCCTCCTTTTTTTGCTTCTCTAGTCTCAGTTGGTGCCTCATGCTGAGTCCTGCTGTGGCTGCTCCCTCGATTCCAAAAGGACTTTCCATTTAATTAAAAATTTGCTATTAAAAAGCATTAAAGTGTGTAATACAAATAATCCCCTGGAAATCGGCTGTCCCAGAAGCCAAAGACCAGCTTCATTAGGAAGCTGACTAACAGCAGCAGGATGGTGAGCTGACGGGACAGAAGGTAGGATGCTAACAACTGCTCCCAGGACAGCCCCCAGCACCCGGCCCTGCTAAGTCTGGCTGGGCCTGGCCTTGAGCTCTGCCTCACCTGGATCCTGCCCCAGGCCCGCTCCCTGCCCAGCACTGCAGACCTTGAGAACAGTGCCAGAGGTGCAGGCACCCAGGCCTTTGCCCAGACATGGAGTCACTGGCATATGCCCTTCTCCAGGAAGGCCACACATGGAGCCCAGGTGGGAGGGGATTAGTAGAAGAGCAGCAAAGGAAGACTAATCCTTCCAGGCCACCTAGACCTGGATGGCTTTGATGCATGCCCAGAGTAGGCAACCACACACAAAGATAAGGGGGGGGGGGTCTGAATAAGACTGCTATCATTTTCATTTTTAATTTGAAAAGAAAATTAATGAGGAATGGAGGACAAGAGGAGAAACTTGACTGAGCCATTCTAAGCATAACTACCAGATTATTGAAGATAATCATCAAAATTATAATGACTAACACTTAGCTGAGCTGTTCCTATGTGCCAAGCATCGTACCATGTGTTTTACATGCACTATTTTACTGGACCCAGGCATTAATTCTGTAGTGTAGCTACTTATGGTGCCCTCATCAGATAGGAGAGGAAACTGAAGGTTCAAAAGAAACCTGCCCAAAGTCACACTAAGTGGCAGAAACAGGACTTGAAGACAAACTGACATCAACATCCTTGATACTGCAACAACTAGAGAATCACTTTGTCCATCCATCCTCTTAGGTAAAGGAGTTCAAATCTGTCCCCACAAGTGCTGGCCACTCTAATTGGCTCAATAATGCCCATTAGATGGCTATTTCAAAGCAGGTATGATTATACATATGGCTGTGAAGAGGGAGCCCAGCCTTGCCATCGCAGAGCTTCCAGGCAAAGGGAAAATACAGACTTTAACCAGCAACTAAACAAATACATAACTAGACACAACTAGAGATCTGTGAGGTACGAGTAAAGGGTGCTATGGCTGGGGTGAATAAAATAACCTGACACCCAGCCCATTATATAGTAATGACACGGCATGAAGGTCAGAGAGGGCCAGACCACGTCTATAAACAGGAAGATCTAGGAAAAGGACTCAAAACATTACTGCATTTCAATGATAAAACCTAATTACTGGGCTGGGGATATAGCTCATGATAAAGTGCTTGCTTGGCATGTGTAAAGGTAGGTTCAATCCCAGCACCACATACACACACAAAACCCTAATTACTATTCTTTAAAAATCAGTGGATGGAAGGGCAGGTCAAAACACCTACATATCTTTGATATTTCATATCTTCTAGGACTGAGAATATATGAAATATCATATTCTACAACCCAAATGCTGTGGCTATTTCCAATTCTCAAAAAAACCACCCAACAATATACTACATTTAACAAATCCTTTTCTAAAAAAACACTGAAAAAGTGTCACTGTTAAAAATGTCTGCAGCAGCTGGGTGCGGTGGCGCACGCCTGTAATCCCAGCGATTTGGGAGGCTGAGGTAGGAGGATCGCAAATTCAAAGCCAGCCTCAGCAATTTAGCAAGACCCTGTCTCAAATTTTTAAAAATAAGATAAAATAAAATAAAAACATCTGAAGCAATATCTTGGTGGGATAGAGGCCCTGTTGCCACAGGAGCTTGTGGGGGACTGAGTGTGACCCCCAGGGACCGGGTATGGCAGGACTTCTCCCCCTCCTGAGAAGGTCATTCACATCCAATGTTTCCCTTTTCTTTGCAACTATTTTTACTACACTAACTGTGAGCTTAAAACACCCCAGGCCCAAGGTAAATGGTGGCTTTGCTTGGAGCTGGGGTCCTGGAAGCTGAAATCTCCATTTTCATTTTATCACCTCTGTTTCCTGGCCTCCTTTACTTACTAAACCCTCTTGCTACTCTATGAAGGGGCCCAGACAACAAAACAAAGGCAGATACATATTGGTTAAATAACTTGCTTCTAATTAGAAAAACCCACACTCAAACCCAGTGAACATGACTCCAAGCCACAAACCTTGGCTTCTTCAAGTATGGACCATGGGCCACAGCATTAGCATCACCTGGAGACAGTGAGCCATGAGGAGTCTCAACCCCCACCCCCAGCCCTGCCTGCCCCAGACCTACTGAATCAGGATCTGAATTTTGACATGATCCCTAGCTGATTCATAAGCACATAAAAGTTTGAGAAGTGCTGCTTTAAACCACAACTCTAGACTGTGATCGAAACTGCTGGGGCAGCTCAGCACGAAGGAAGACAGAGTCTATTCATTAGAGGAATTTAGAGCAGAGAGCAAGCAGATCACAGGTAGAACGCACTCCATTCAGACTTCAGACTATCGGCACTACATGGCTCCTCCACTCAACTCCCCACCGCTGGCCACTCTCCCAGGGCTGTTTCGAGTTCAACAGTGTGCATTACATCCAGTAGACATTTTATTTGCTTGTTTCTAATTAATACGCTTTATTTTGGGGGAGCAATTTTGAGTTCACAGCAAAATTGAGCAGAAGGTACAGAGCGTTCCCATATACCCCCACCACTACATATGCACAGCCACCCCCACTATCAGCATCCCACACCAGAGTGGTACATGTGCTACAATCGATGAACCCTACTGACACACTATTAACCAAAGTCCACAGTTTACTTTGGGGTTCACTCTTTCACTGGCTTTTAACTTTGCTAAGAATATCAGGGGAAAAAACTGGAGATACCTAGCCCCTTGTACCAAATATCCCTTCTGAATTCAACTGCCTACAACCCTGAAAACAGTCGGAAGTTGATGATCTGCTCTTTGCTCTCAGCTTCCTCAACTGTGTACCACCCTTGGGCTGATCTAATTGTCTCTCTTTGGGATGGAGTTTAAAAAGGCCACGGCCAAAAGGGCCACAGCTCTGAAGGAACAGTGGAGAGATGAGAGGAATAGTGAATTAGGGGCACACAACTGCCTCCTCTATAGCCACAAGCCAGGTCCGGATCCATGGCAACCTCCGTCTCCTGGACCTGCAGCTCAGTCACATCTCCAGGAGTCCTGGTTCCCATCAGAAGCCAGAGGGCCCAGCCAGCCAACGCTTCCAGGACATAGCCCTGACTCACCCTTCCCTCTGGCTTGCCCTTAACCCTGGAATTGGTCCTCAAACCAATATCCCCCAGGACCTGTAAGCAGATAGGAAATGGAAGCATAGTTCTAGGCAATTTGATCCTGACAAAGTGACTGCAATGCCTGCTTTTCCTGAGTCTTGCTGCCTTCCTACCACACCTGGGATAGGTGTCTTTACTCTGAGCTAGGGGTAGGTAGAAAAGGAAAGGGCTACCAAACTGAGTAATTTTAAGAGGTCAAAGGGATATATTTAATTCTAGAAATACAGAAAAAGGAGATTAAGACTTTTTCCTGCTAGTATCCCATTTTTGTCCTTCCTGTTTATTTATTATGACCCTCTATGATCAAAGTCACCTTTAACATAGATGATACAGATATGAATCTGCATCCTCTATCACTGACCCCTCTCCCTTTGTTCTCCTCTCTACATGAAGACAACACTTCACTGTTGTACAAGCTGGTCATACAAAGCACAAAGGAAAGGAAATTTATTGTCCTCAGACCTTGAGACCCAGGCTGGTACACCAATAATGCTTCTGAGCTGGTGGATGGCTTTAAAGCCAGGTCTTCTGATTCAAAAAGCTGGGAAATATATATATATTTTTTTTCCCAAATTGTGGAATCTTGTTTTTAAATATTGGCAAATAATAAAAATATTTTTAGACTGCTGAGCCAGCCAAATTAAACATGCCTCAATTTGTGACTGCTGCTCTAGGTGTTTCTCTGTTGGCCATCTCTTACCCAAGACAACACACTGGTCCCCACCATGCAGTTTTCAGGTGAAGGTCTAACCTCAAAGACCACCCAGGAGGGCTAAGGCCAGGACTTAATGGCTGAAAGGTTTTGGCTCCATGGAACATACTGCACCAGGTGGAGCGGAGGCTTAGCTATGCCAATCTGCATTGGGTGTAATCTAAGCCACCGATTACGATCTATAAAGCCCTGCATGGTTGGAGTTCTGGTTACCTCAGAGCTGCTCCTCTCCCTGTGGGCTGGAGTAGGACCTCAGTTCCTCCACTTATGAGCTCATATGGATTTCTGAGACCTGGGGAGCCACGGGCCGGTAGCTCTGGAGGCAGCATCAAGCTTCTGCAAGTGGCCTCACAGGCCTGGCTGCTAACAGAGTGGAGCAGGAGGCCTCAGGGCACTGTGGGAGCCCTGATATTTAGGCCATGCCTGAGGAGCACAGAACACGTGTTGTCTTTTGTGATGACTCAGGACTTTCAGGGAAAAACCTAGGAGATGCTCCCTGCTCTGCCTCAAGTCAGCACCAGGGTTTCTGCTCAAACCCTGCAGCCAGCCCAATGTCTGTCCTTTCCTTCTGCAAACAGTACCAAATCAGGGCCAACGCTTTTGGCAAAGATTATTTCAGCTGAACAATGTAAAACTGAGCTGGAGTGGGTTGTGGCAGGCAAACCTCCTCAGGCTTTAGAACAACCAACAATGTGCTCTTGTCCCCCAAGTCAGGATGGGAACAGAGAGAAATCTTCTCAATTTTTTCTCCTTCCCCATCCAAGTGGCCCCTGCCATCCCTTCTCCAGAGAAGCTAGGCGGGTGGGCAACTTGCTTTCCTGGCTCCGGGAAACACAAATGGAAGTGCCATGGAAACCCTCAGAGTGAGCAGGACATTGCAACAGGAACAAAACTCTTTCAAGTCTAGAAACAAAATCCTGAGTTTTTCATGAGGGCTATGTAAGGCCCCTGGTGAAGGATGCTGGCAGCTAGTAGCCCGGAACCTCACATACTGAGGGCTCTGGACCTCAGCCCAAAGACGGAAGGAGAAAGGGAGTCTGAAACCTATTATAATGCCTCATATCCCAGCCCTGAGATGGCTCTGCTGCAATGGAGATACTCAGGTCTCTAAACAAGAAAACTTGAGAATTCTAAGACACAGCTGCTATCCTGCTTGGGTTTAAAAAAAAAAAAAAAAAAAAAAAACAGGTAATAAAGACCCTCAGACAGAGGTGACTCCATACACAAAAACAACCAATCTCGGTTCTCTCTACTGTCCATAAAATACCCACAGAACACTCTGTACAGGGCACTCACCAATATTTGGATGTTTCAAAAGTCGGCATATCCGAGCCTCACGTTCTAGTTTTTGGTGATCTAAAAGCAGAAGAGAAAAAAACAAAAGTATTCAACTAACCATTATACTTGTGGTCACCTGGCTATTCATACTCCTTCAATTCTTAGATACCAACTATGCACTTCTGGCAATTTGCTGCATTAATGCAACAAGTCACAGCAATTCCAGAGACAGTTATTTCCAGATGAGGAAATGATTTGAGATATTAAAGACCTCAAGCTAGTGAGTAGCAGAGCTAGAATCTGAATCCAGATCTTCAGTTAAAACTCTGGTGCTCTTTTTTTTTTTTTCAATTTTTTTTTAAGGGGGAGGGAGAATTTTAATATTTATTTTTTAGTTTTCTGCGGACACACATCTTTGTATGTGGTGCTGAGGATCGAACACGGGCCGCACACAGGCCAGGTTTAGTGGTGCATGCCTGTAATCCCAGTGACTTGGGAGGCTGAGGTAGGAGAATTGTGAGTTTGAGACCAGTCCCAACAAATTAGCAATGCCCTAAGCAACTCAGTGAGATTGGGGATGGCTAAGTGATTAAGCACCCTTGGGTTCAATCTCGAGTACCAAAAAAAAAAAGAAGAAGAAGAAGTATTTACACAGCTGGGTGTGGTGGCACACACCTGCAATCCTAGCAACCTGGGAGGCTGAGGCAGGAGGATCACAAGATCAAGTCCAGCCTGGGCAATTTAACAAGACCCTATATCACTCTTTTTATTTTATATTATTTTTTTAGTTTCTAGTTTTAGGTGGGCACAGTATCTTTATTTTTTATTTTTATGTGGTGCCAAGGACCAAACCCAGTGCTTCATGCATGCTAGGCGAGTGCTCTACCACTGAGCCACAACCCCTGCCCTGTATCATTCTTTTTAAACAATAAAAAGGGCTGGGGATGTAGCTCAGCGGTAAAGTGCTCCTGGGTTCAATCTCTACTACCACCCCCACCCTCAAAAAATAGGAAGAAATAAGTAGTGTCCCCTTATCTGAGAAGGATACCTTCCAACACCCCCAGTATATGCATGAAACTGTGGAGGATATTAAATCCTACATAAAAGTACTGTGATATTGTGACAAGTCAGTCAGTCTGATAACCAAGAAGGCCGCTAAATGACTAACAGGTAGGGAGTTTTATACAGCATGGAGAAGCTGGACAAAGAAGTGATTCACATCCCAGGTGGGATGGAGCAGGATGGCAAGAGATTTCATCATACTACTCAGACAGCATGCAATTTAAAATTTATTAGTTGTTAATTTTTCTAGAATTTTCCATGTAATATTTTTGGATCATGGTTGACCACAAGTAACTGAAACTGTAGAAAGCCAAACCAAGGATGAGGGGAGACTAGTGTAATAGCTAAAGTCATACTGAACCTAATACACGACCAGACACTATGCCAGGAATTCTGCATATATTTTCTTATGTAGTCCTCATGGTAATGCCAAAACACAATGATCCTGACAATGAAGATGTTGATGATTAAGATAATGTGACTTAAAATAATAACAACAAATATTTAGTCAGCTCACTTCTATGTCAGACACATCTTGCAATTTATCCTCATATCCTCATATTATGATGCCCATTTAAAAAATTATTTTTTAGTTGTAGGACACAATACCTTTATTTTATTTATTTATTTTTATGTGGTGCTGAAGATCAAACCCAGTGCCTCACCCTTGCTAGGCAAGTGCTCTACCACTGAGCTACAACCCCAGTCTATGATGTCCATTTTATAGAAGGAGAAACCAAAGCACAAGTTCTGCTTCTCCCCAGGATCCTCCTGGTCACCTACTGATGTGAGCTCTGGCTTCTTCACACTCAGCCTTTGGGATTACTCTATTGTTAGGAAATGACCAGAATCCGCAAGTCCTCAGATCCAAGTGAGTTGCATGGGTCAATTCCTTCCACAGGAAGGCAGAGCTCCAGGAAGTAGAGAAAATGCTGCTCTGAGCTAGGAGGCCTAGGAGCCTCCCTACTTTATTTCTCTCTGACTACTGGAATCTGCCAGGCCACCTTTTTTTAGTCTTCCCTGCTCCTCTTAGTAGACTGTGACTTCTCCCACCTCTGGCTACCCCTCAGCTTCCCACTGTGCTTCTCATGATTCTCACATCACATAGTACAACGGTTATCTTTTTCTTTTCTTTTTTTTTGAGAGAAAGAGAGAGAGAGAGAGAGAGAGAGAGAGAGAGAGAGAGAGAGAGAGAGGAGAGAGAGAGAGAGAGAATTTTTTAATATTTATTTTTCAGTTTTCAGTGGATACAACATTTTTTTTTTAATTTTTATGTGGTGCTGATGATCGAACCCAGCGCCCCGCGCATGCCAGGCAAGAGCATTGCTGCTTGAGCCACATCCCCAGCCCACAACGGTTTTGGTCACAAGTTCTTCAAAGGAGTGGGGATCTTTCTAAATAGTACTTCCTAGAGTTCTTTCCATAAACAGGGACTCAATAAGGACTTATTAATAACAACAGTATCAGTAATAACTATCACTCACTAAGCATTTATCACATGTTAGGCAAAGGCCAGGATTATCACATTTCATCCTCACAGAAACTGTGGAGTGGGCCATCTGATTAGCTCTATTACACTACAAATGAGGAAACTGAGGCTTAACAAGATAAAATAACCTACTCAAGGTAACACAGACAGGAAATGGATGCAGGTAATATGGACCTAGTCTGGAATGACAGAATAAGAAAAAGTGAGAATATCAAGTAAAGACTTTAGGTTCTGGGGGACTGAGTCCAATGCAACTTGATTCCCCAAGCCAAGCAATTCCTATATTTCTTGGTAGGGGTTTCTCTACACCCAAAAATATCACATGGAAAATTCCAGACATAAGCCATTAATAAGTTTCCCCTAAACAGCAGAACGCCTCTGTAAAGCCTCCTATGACCCTCACAACCACCCCAGCAGGTAGGTGCTATAACTGCCTCTCATCATAGATTGCTGTGATGAAACTGAGGCCCAGAAAAGTTAATAACTTATCTAAGGTTCCACAGAAGAAAAGGGATAGAACCCTGGCCTGTTGGTTTAAGATAATGTAAGGATTATAGTCTAGAAGGAGTTCATATTTGTTGTTTCACCAACCACCTCCAGCTTTGTCCTCCACTCTCCCTCTAGTGATAGCTCTGCTTTGTGAAAGGAGGTGGGAACAGGCAGAGATTAGTTCCTGCTGCCAGCTAATCCATCCCAGCTGCCCAAAGATCTGGGTCATGCCTTCCTTCCTATCCTCAGGTTCCACATGTCCGCTGACCAGGATGTATCTAGGAGAACCCCAGGTAACGCCCAATACCCATTGCTTGGTATCCCTTGGTCCCAGGTAAAGGGATATGACTAGGGAGTCCTATAAGCAAGGGCACTCAAGGAAGCAACGATAGCTTTGCTTGATGGCTTGGGGAAGCTTGCTTTTTCCCAATCTGGCCAGATGTTGGAGCAACCTCACCTTTCTCCCAGTCCCAGACTTGAGACAGAGGTACCAAACTAGGCAGTCCCTAACCTACAGATGCACTGGCCCTGTCTCTAACCATTCACCTTACCACCTCTGATGCACAAATCTTGGGCTTGGCTGCCCAGACAGGAATGAGAGACCAGCATCTTGCAATGTAGAGGTGGCAGCTGAGGAAAAGGCCCAGAAGATTAACGTTTATCTCTTCCCTTAAGTCTCTTACTAGCTAATGGTTTAGTACTACAACAGTAATAGCACTAAAAATAAGGAAGGGTGCTTTGGCTTTACTAGTGCAGTGACTCAGATTAGAGATAGCAGACACAAACTTGGGCTCAGGCTCTCAACTCCTCGAAGGAGTTTCCCAGGGTGCAGAGGGTCACTATCAGCCTCTTAATTCAAATCCTTACTTCAAGGTCTTCTCTTAACCCCAGGGCTGTGCCTTGGTCCTTACACTGATTTTAAGACATGGAGTACAGCAATTAACACATTGGCTTTGGAGTCAGACAGCCCTGGATTGAGTCCAGCACTGCCACATTCAGCAAGTCATTAAATGCATCTGAGCCTCACTCATTCCTTCAAAATTTATTTATTGAGGCCTACCATGTGACAATCACTGTTCTAGATGCAGGGAGAGAGTTGGGAGCAAACTAAACAAAAATCCCTGCTCTCATAGAGTTTACATTTTAGTGGAGCTGGGGAAGGAGAGGGACAGACAATAAGAAACTCAAAAGCTTGCTAGAGGTAACAGCAAGTGCCACACAGAAAAGTAAAACAAGGAAGGGAGAAAGTTTAAATAGGGTGGTCAGGAAGCCTCAGCCAGGAGGTGACTCTTGATTAGGAGATGTCATAGGACATATGGTCATCCTTCCCAAGTTCAAGGGCATACTGGCCAGGCATGTATCTTGGGAAGGAGGTCCTACTTCTAAAATGGAGACAGTAATATCTGAGGTTTAAATGAGGCAATATGGATAGAGTACTTAACATAGTGTCTGGTACATAGTAAGAGCCTCTCTCCCAGGGCTTAGTTATAAAGAGGACAAGATCTCCTCAGCCAAGCATATGGTCATTTGCATGTGGTCACCTCTGCTACTGCCAGAGAAGAGAGAAATACCCACCTTCCCCTCTGCCTGGGCAAATGCAGGGTCTAAAATATGCCACTTGAGTCCTCTGACCTATTTGGGGGGCTTCCTGTGAGACCTTCCATCATCATCTGGGCATGGAGCCTGCCCATATCTATAGCCTAAAGGTGAAGGTGAGCAACAGGAACTCCTCAGAGAGAGGACCACCCCATGAAGCACCTGGCCAGTGGATCCCTCTATTTTCTCAGCCTCACTGGCAGTGGTGCCCTGCATCTTGAAGCACTCTGCTTAGAGCCACATGGTTTCTGACTACCACATTCTCCCAGTGTCCTTATACCATACACATCCTGGCTATCACCCCAGCTTCTCTCTTTCCCTCATATTTCCTGTCCTATAGTCACTTCCAGGGGTGGTCCATGGCTGAGAAAAAGCAGAATGCTCCTCCCCACAGGAACAAGTAATGACTTGTAAAAAGCATCCTTCCCAAGTCCAAGGGCAT